CCATAGCAAACTACACTTCGAGCAAATGGCTTCTCTAACGGACAGACCGACAGACTGACTCTTTTTATTTATTTGTCGTTCAAGTCTGTCTGTCGTGGTGGCCCAGAGGTTAAAGCGCCCGCTTCTCATGCATGAGGGTGCGGAGGCGAAACCTGGCAAGTACCAATGTGACATTTCCGAGTTACATAGCCTTTTAGGGTTATTTAGACACCGCAAACCTGGATTTATAATTATAAGTTTGAAATCGCCAATCCGCCTTGAGCAAGCGTAGTGGTTAATGCTCAAACCTTCTCTGTTTGAGAAGAGGCCTTTGCTCAGCAGTGGGCACTTATGGGCTGAGGATGATGAGGAAAAACCGATATACTGACACTTTTTTACTTATTCGCTATGTCGTTCAAAAGTGCTCTTAATGGTCTTATAAATACTTCTTGCCAACTTTGCCACATAATTTTTGTAGTTGGAAAATCATCCAATGACTTCTCCTGTGTGGGGTGAGAGAAAGTGCCAGACTCTTACTAACTAAGAACCACCACATTCTATTTTCGCAAAAAACCCTTGTCTGCTGAAGCTTAACACTTTCAGTGCCAGGGCAATTTTTGGAAAAGCTATGGTGTATCTTTAAGGATACACCGGCGCTGAGCAGGTTAAAACTTCAGCTCTAACTCGTCAGCCATTAAGGCAGTCACGGCCGACCCTCGCACATAAAGGAGGGCCAAAATCCAGCTTTGATAATACTCCTAATACTCCTTAAAATGGTGTGAAGTTCCAAAGGTCTTTAGGTTACCCAAACAATGTTAAACAAACTCAGTATGTCTATTCAAGTATACAAGGCCAGAAATATGCTAAACTATTAACATATTTTCATATAACAACTATGTAATATGTACCCTATAGTTTTAGGTTCACAGGCTAAAATCGCTTGTAGTTGTAACTAGGAAGGTAAAAAATATATATATATAGTATGATTTTTCTGTCAGGACACGGCTTGAAACGAAAATATATTTAGAAAATGTCACATTTTATGTGATTTCTTAAGTGTATAACGAATTCCCTTGAAACGCGTAAATTGCCCATGATTATGGGTTCCGAATGTCACTTTTTTTTATTGATTATAGGTTCGCGCTTGACCGCTATCTCACCTGATGGAAAGCGACGATGCGGTCGACGATGGAGCGCGCTTACCTAGAAGTAACCTATTCACTCTTGACTTAAAGATACCCGGATTGTAGCTATCAGGAAACACCGACTCCGGCAAGGAATTCAACTCCTTGGCTGTATCTACCTCGTTAAACTGTCAAATGTGTAAGCTGTACAGCCAAATCGATACTAATATTATAAATCTGTAAATTTTTTTGTTTGTTTTAAAGCCTAAATCTCCAGAATTACTGGTTCGAATTGAACAATGCTTTTTGTGTTTGTTAGTCCATTTCTCAAGACGTCACGCTACGATAAAATGGAGCTGACCGGTGGCTGAAACCGCGCAAGATAAGCTAGTTAATTTCATATGTCCGCCTAGCCCGTTCCATCATCGGACCACCAGACGTACGGCATTGCGCCACCGGTACATGGTGGATGTCCCACATATACTTACGTACAAAACGTTTTGGGAGCACATTCATATGCGTACAGCCAAGGAGTGGCATTCCTTGCCGGGGTCGGTGTTTCCTGATAGTTACAATCCGGGTATCTTTAAGTCAAGAGTGAATAGGTTACTTCTAGGTAAGCGCGCTCCATCGTCGACCGCATCGTCGCTTTCCATCGGGTGAGATAGCGGTCAAGCGCCTATAATCAATAAAAAAAAATTCTTACAATAGAAAAAAACTAGCCTAAAGATATTAAACGATCACCCATCTAAAGGCAGGCCGCGGTCAGCTCGCCGCCCGATCAGAAACAGGCCCGAGCGTACGGCGCGTAGCGTTCCGCGCCCGCCTCAAATTAGCCAATAGACCACCACAGACGGGGCCCTAAAGGGCTGATGTTCAGCCGGGGTTGCGGGGTAAGCGCAATGAGGCACCGCGACCTCGGCACAGAGCAGGAGAAGGAACAGGGGGGTTTTTAGTCAGTAAGAGTCTGACACTCCCTCCTGCCCGGCCCTGGGCGGGAGAAGTCGTTTGATGATTTTCCCCTCACAAAAAAAAAGGCCGCGGTAAGCGTAGACTCTTTATTTATTGTACGCACAATAATTCTGGTTGGGAAAACTCATGAGGGGAATAATAATGAAGCAATAAAGAATACGGCTACCATAATATGTTTCTGTTTCAAATCTTTAATTGTATTCTGTGCGTGTCACTGATACGTGATTTGCAAGAATTGCAAGATGTATTGTATTACACCTGTTCTTCTATGAAGGGAGAGGTTTATTTATTTTACACATCAGGCTATAAGAGCCCTCCTGCTTACCTAAGGTCTCTTTTCAGACGCAGAAGAATTCAAATACAAAGTCATATCAGAATCTTTTAAACGCCAATCAAAATAATCACTACATACTACACAGTATAAAACAAAGTCGCTCTCTCTGTCCCTATGTCCCCATATCATTTTTTTAAAGAGAGCTGCAGTGTGATTCTTTAAGACTTCATTCTTAACTTCGAATCTGAATCCGCTGTGACTAGTAGTACACTAGCGCTACACTTGCGAGTTGAACTAAATTGACAGCAACATTTTGATAGATCAAGTATGAGATGACGTTAAAAGCTGCATTCTAAAATTTAATTTCCCCGTCATTTCGACGCTGACTTCGTACTCGAACAAGATTCAAATACAAACAAATTTTATAGAATCGACGTGCTGTTCGGATTATAATTTACTTGCTTCTCTCTCTCAGTAGTAGGTACTGCTAGCGGACCAATATTACCGCCACTGGACCGAAAACCCGTTTCCTTAAATCCATAAAAGGCCGGCAATGCACTCGTAGTAACTCCTATGGTATTATCGAGTGTCCATGGGTGGCATTAGGTATTCCATCTGCTCGTTTGCCGATCTTTGCCATTAAAAATGCTAGGTACTAAGAACAAAGTAAATGAGGAAGAGTCCTGCTTCGGCACGAATGGGTCGGCTCGATCGGAGTGATACCAGGCCACGGCCCACAAAAACCGGCGTGAAACAACCACAGCGTTGTGTTTCGCCGTGTGAGTGAGGTTACCGGAGGCCCAATCCCTACCCCTCCCCTATGCCTCACCAATCCTTAAATATCCTCAACCCTTATCCCCAAAAGGCCGGCAACGCACTCGTAACTCCTTGTTGCGAGAGTCCATGAACGGTGCCAATTGCTTACTGTCAAGTACGCAGTCTGCTCGTTTGACGTTCATTAAAAAAACCGTTATAATTTGCTCAAAAATCATATATTTAGAAAGAATAAACTGACTCAGTGACCTATAAAGGAACCAGTTTCGGAGTTGTACGCTCACAAACGGAACGATGACCGTGACAGCTTTCTACGAAAACTTTGACATTTCATACTTGTTTTAGATGAAAACGAAAGTTTAATATGTACCTATACATATTTTAAAGCGTTTTTCATCTAAATAATTATCCTTTTTTACATTATAATGGCGAAAGTGGATGGAAGTTTGTTACTCTTTCTTTCAAGTAAAAACTACTGAACGGATCTCAATGAATTTTAGCACAGAAATAGATTATATTCTGGAATAACACGCGGGGTAATTTTTTACCCTGATAGATACTGCGGGCGAAGATGTTGGCAGAAACTAATAAGTCTCATTTACTGGAAACAAAAGCCGTAATACTGTTTAGCTGTTTATTTTACCGTTGCTTATAAACAGTTTAGCGTAACACTTATTTATGACTAGCTACTCCCGCGCGGTTTCACTCGCTGCTCGGCTCCATTTGATTATAGCGTGATGTTTTATAGCCTATAACACTCGGGAACATTATAGCTATCTATCAGTGAAAGAATTTTGGCAATCCGACCAGTGGTTCCAAAGATTACCCCCTACATACAAACTTAAAAATTTTACCTCCTTATAATATTAGTATAGATTACTGTTCAGATACAACGCTATTTCATAGCTTAGGTCTGACTGCATTGTAAGCGCTGTTCTGCGAACGGCGAATAAGGGTAGCTCGTCGCCCGACCAGAACTAGACCCGAGCGTACGGCGCGTAGCGTTCCGGTTCCGCCTTAAAGAGTCAGCAGACCACCACTGGACCCAGATCCAAGCCCCTGCCTGGCGCAGGAGAAGGAACGGAGGGGTTCTGGTCAGGTGGCAAGCCACCCTTTCTCGCTGTCCAGACAGGCGCTTACGGTGGCCGAAGATCTTCGCACTTGCCAAGGACAAAAAAACACGTGTCCATAATATTAGTAGAAATATAATGAATATTAATGAAAATACAGAAGAAATTGTACGTAATTTATTTTGAAATAACAGTTATTTTCAAGGTTGCATTTTTATAAAATAATGTCTAAAACATTTCGGTCCATTTTGACCTCGATTTGCTGAACTTGAAAAATTGACGAAATTTGTTTTGACGCATATGTGTATAATATTGTTTGAAAAGTTTTTTTACCTAATAGCAGCCGACCTCTATGATATGAATTTTATTATGAAAATTCTTTCCTATTTAAAATAAGGAACCGTTATTTAAGAGTAAGAAAATCTCGTGAACGGCTGGATAGATTTCGCTGGTAATTTTTTTATTTGCTTGTCATAGAAGTTTCTTTAGTTATTCAGCTAATAGAAACCCTTTTGGTGTTTTAACAGTTCGTGAACGAAACTGACACGCTACTTGTAATAAGAGAAAAAACTCTCTTGGCTTGCATATGTCATAAGAAATTATAAAAGTCTTCCAATACTGCTTGTAAACATTATTAAACTTGTCATTTATCATGCTGCCAATGAGCATTAAAAATATTCAATTGAAACACGTGCGCACACCATACCTACTAAAATGATGAATGAAAGAGGAAAATGAAGACAAGACAGATGTCTTTTTGTGTTTTTAGAGTCGAAAACTACATAAAAACCCTTTCTTTAATTCCAGATATCAGCTGTGAAGCAGCTAAGCAGTAGACATGAAAGTGTGGGGAGCTCACGGAGAGTTTTGCGCGCGTCACCAGTGGGAGGTGATCGTGGCTACATTAGCCCTGCTAGCCTGCGCTGCCAGCGTCGAGAGAAATGGCCCAGGGAACAGATCGGAACACTGCGCAGGATGGGCCCGAGCCTGCCCGGGCCTCGAAGCCGAGTACCAGGCCGCCGACGCCGTCATAATGACCTTCGTCCGCTGCGCAGCCCTCCTATACGCTTACTACCAAATCTCGAACCTCCACAAAATAGCTTCGAAATATCTTCTCATCATCGCCGGGGTGTTTTCGACTTTTGCCAGTTTCATCTTCACTTCAGCTGTAGCCAGTCTGTTCTGGAGCGAGTTGGCGAGTATAAAGGATGCTCCGTTCCTATTCCTGTTAGTCGCTGATGTGGCTAGAGGCGCTAGAATGGCGAAGGCTGGATGGTCTGCCGGAGAAGACCAAGGAAAGAGGGTCGGGAGAGCGTTGTCCTTGCTTGGACCCACAGCTACATTAGACACACTTCTCGCTGTCTTATTAGTGGGAGTTGGAGCATTATCTGGGGTTCCTAGATTAGAACACATGTGCACATTCGCCTGTCTAGCTCTGTTGGTAGACTATTTAGTATTTGTAACATTCTACCCCGCCTGTTTGTCTTTAGTAGCAGACTTCGCTTCAGGACGTAAAGAAATGTCGTCAGACAATCCATTCTCTGAAGCTGACTTAAAACCGAACCCTGTTGTTCAAAGAGTGAAAATGATTATGGCCGCCGGTCTCTTATGTGTACACCTGACCAGTAGATGGCCCTGGAGTGCTGATAACGGGATCATAGAAGGTCCAACAGACACATTAACCCCTGCCCCGAATGACAACATCCTCCTACATTCCTACGTGAAATGGTTCTCCGTTTCCGCTGACTACATAGTTATAGCGACACTACTCTGTGCCTTAATTATTAAATTCATGTTCTTTGAAGAGCACCGAAGCTGGATCATTGACATGAATGATATGACCGTCAAAGAAGTAGTTCAGGAGCAAGCTAGAATTAAGCCGAAGTTCTCAGTAGGAGACGATTCTAATTCTGACGTGTCAACACAAACTGAGGGAGTTTCTGAAGAAGAGTGGCCTACTCTCTCACCAAGCTCTTCCGCAGCTAAACTGAACTCTAAAAAACGTCCAATGGCTGAATGCCTCGAAATATACAGATCTGAAGGAGGCTGCATCTCTCTTAGTGACGAGGAAGTGATAATGTTGGTAGAACAATCGCATATACCTCTGCATCGATTGGAAGCGGTGTTGGGTGATCCTCTTCGCGGGGTTAGACTGCGAAGGAAAGTGGTCGGTACAAGATTCCAAACCGAGCTAGCTATAAAACAACTGCCTTACTTAAATTACGATTATTCTAAAGTTTTGAACGCGTGTTGTGAAAACGTGATCGGTTACGTTGGAGTGCCGGTAGGGTACGCAGGCCCGTTGGTCGTTGACGGCAAGGCCTACATGATTCCAATGGCGACTACTGAGGGAGCCTTAGTTGCTTCCACGAATAGAGGAGCTAAAGCTATTGGTCCAAGAGGTGTAACAAGCGTGGTAGAAGACGTAGGCATGACGAGAGCGCCCGCAATCAAACTACCAAACGTTGTCAGAGCACACGAGTGCAGACAATGGATAGACAATAAAGACAACTACGCCTTAATCAAAGAAGCCTTTGACTCCACGTCAAGATTCGCTCGCCTACAGGAGATACACATTGGCGTGGATGGAGCAACATTATACTTAAGATTTAGAGCTACCACAGGAGACGCTATGGGTATGAACATGGTATCCAAAGGCGCAGAAAACGCCTTAAAACTCCTCAAAAACTACTTCCCAGACATGGAAGTTATTAGCTTATCTGGAAACTATTGTTCTGACAAAAAAGCAGCTGCTATTAACTGGGTGAAAGGTAGAGGGAAGCGGGTGGTCTGTGAGACCACTATAACTAGCGATAATTTAAGGACGATCTTCAAAACTGACGCTAAAACTCTGGCTCGGTGTAATAAGATTAAGAATCTCTCGGGTTCGGCTCTAGCCGGGTCCATCGGTGGCAATAATGCCCATGCTGCGAATATGGTGACCGCTATTTACATAGCAACGGGCCAAGATCCTGCTCAGAATGTAACCAGCTCGAATTGTTCAACGAATATGGAATGCTGCGGGGAGAATGGTGAAGATCTGTACGTTACTTGCACCATGCCGTCTTTGGAAGTGGGTACTGTCGGTGGTGGCACGATTTTGACGGGTCAAGGCGCTTGTCTGGAGATACTAGGGGTTAAAGGAGCCGGGGTACGTCCTGCGGAAAATTCAGCGAGACTGGCTTCCTTGATTTGCGCCACTGTTCTAGCTGGTGAACTAAGCCTAATGGCTGCTCTCGTCAATTCAGATCTTGTCAAATCACACATGAGACATAACCGCTCCACAGTTAACGTACAAGCGGAAACCATAACTCTAAAAGTACCGACGTTATAACACAAAGTTTTTTTACGAAACACTTCTCCTTATTACAGGGGCCTTATGGAAAACCGTTCAAGTTTCATGCCGTTTTTGGTAACTTACTGAATCGATGTGTAGGGCGTAGCACTGTGCTTGATTTAGCTGGCTATGTGAGAAGTCTGGTATAAGAGAAGCTAGAAGGTAACAAGAAATCACGATAATCGAGAGTTTTATCAATTTATAAGATGTTGTGTTGAATGTTTTTATTGTAAAATTATTATGACATTTGGCGGAAAAGGGAATATTGGCGCCATTTTTGCTTTCTTTATTCTTATGGCATTATCGTAATTGACAAAGAGGCTTTTTGCAAATGCTAGATGTAACGTTGTCTATGAAAAAAATGATTTCCCTTTTTGCCATGAAACTAAATAAGATTATTGAGTGACTTTTTTACTTTTTTAACAACACGAGGAGTCGGTGGCCTATTATAAGCAAAATAATATATTTTATGTTATATCAAAATGGTATTATTGACAATATTATATAATATGTATTTAGTTTTATGGCTAATGCTGCAAATGTGAATCGAGAACATTGTAAGTTTTATTAAATAGTTGTTCAATAAATTTACTTTGAATGTTTTATGAGTTTTATTCAAGTTTTTTGTGAGAAAAATGAGTAGAGTCGTACGTTCCGTAGCATTTATTACGAAAAACTAGCCGCTGCTGATGAAATATTGAAGTTGTCAAGGTCGACTAGTTAGACGCGCCATACTTATTACGCTCCCGCGCATATCGATATTTTATATACTATGCTATATATACTAGGTACTTTACGTACTTACAACTAATTTTAGATAAAATCACAGCTTTTTTATCCCCGAGGATTTAGCCAAGTCTATAAAAGTCCCCTTTTCATCTGTATGTAATGAAGTAAGTAATTTTGTCATGCCAAATAGCCAGGACAACTTTTTGAAGGGTATAATTTTATTACTGAGAGTGTCCAACTCTTGCTAAAATCACCCTGTTCCTTCTGCTTTAACCCGTGGTATGCCGGAGCGCAGACATACGCGAGACACAATGTGTTTTCTATTGTGTCTCATATAACGGCAGACTAGCGGTTAATCCAGGGCAACTGTAGGTACATAAATTGAAGAGTTTACACCAACTAATTAATTGTTTAGCTATATCAATCCTACCTAATTTTTACCTACTTTTAGAGGTGCATACTCTTGTCACCATACATTCACCGTACTACATTATTTTCTGTCCAGTTCTTAATAGCATATTCTAGGCCAAATTCAATAAGGTTATACTCACCCGGGTATAGGTACACTTTCGTAATTTTTTTAGCTGTGAAAGGTTTGAGCTAATGAAGATCTGTATAGGTAAGGGATTTTCCGAGGAATTTATTATGTTTTTTTTCAGCTGCACTCCAACAGTGTCCAGCTTCACTGACGAACAGACTGGCAGACTATCGTTATATTTTGACGTTTCAAAAGTACCTACTCAATAAGTAAATGCGCTCCTGATTAGCGATTGATCGAGGGTTCAGATTACCTGATGGTAAGCAATCGGTGCCGCCCATGGCGACTCTCAACTCCAGACGCGTTACAAGTGCGTTTCGGCATTATGGATTAAAGGGTTGGGCAGGGATACAGATTAGGCTTCCGTTAACATCACTCACCACGAATTCCTTAATTACACATGAATAGGTCGAGCTGACCCATTCGCGAAAACATGGCTCTGATATCATATCATATCTGATATCATCTGAATCTTTAACTGAAAGCTTTATTATCTTACTAGCTTTTGCCACGTGCGTTCGTGCAGCGGAATGTTGTTGAATTTAAAGATTTTAATTATGCAGATATTTAGTGTATGACGTCGTATAATTGTGTATGGTAAAAAAAAATTTGTGCACGCAACCATTGTGGAGAAATTCACCAAAAACTGATTCCGCTGGGCGAACGTTGTCCTGGCGGAACTTTTTTTAATCCATAGACTTTAGAAGAAAAGAGATGTATCCAAAAATTAGTGTGTATTTGTGTGTGATTGTGTATGTATGAATAAAACTAGTGCATGCATAAACTTCTGAGAAATTCAAGTTTCCGCTACGCGAACGTTTGGCCATTAGCTAGTTTTCATATAATGCGCTTACATAGAGAGCTGTAGATTTTTACACACGTTGTTTTGAATTTGTTTATATTTGTTTAAAAAACAGATCTAGAAAAAATCGTAGGGTTTACAAGATAAAAATATAAACGTAAAATACGCTTATCAGGTCCTAGTTCTTAAAGTATGCACTTTGGGGTCTAGATTTTCACGTTTATACAAACCTTGTAAGTGTCTGCAACATGTTGCCAAGTATCAATGATGTTCCGTTAGTAATTAAATAGTTATAGGACAATTATGACAAATTTACCATGAATAGATCACTGTTTACAAAGCAGTCAAATATCACGACTTTCTAAATGAATTGCATGGTAAAATGTATGCCAGTAATTAGTGTATTCATTCAACTATTCACATGCAAAATTTCATGTCATTAAATTCAGTAATTAAAGAAAAACAATTATAATACTGACGAAGCATCGAAAACCTACATAACCCGACCAAGTTCGGATGGCTACAAAAAAGCGGCCGTGCCATATATCTAAGACACGTTCTTAACTTTTCAATATAGCATTTATTAATATGGTACAGTATCGTACACAAGCGGTAGGAAAAAATAAAACAATTTAAAAAAAAAATCGATTCAAGAAGTGGTTTTTTTAAGTTATTTGATTGTTTGATCCACTAAAGTTGCAAAGGGGAACGCTCGTGCATGCCTAGTCTATTGGTTAAATAGTGTAATAAGCTACAATATGATAAACATTTACCTAAATAGTAGTACATACTTACATGTGGTAAATATTTAATTTCCCTAAGGGGTCTATAGTTAGAATCCTGATCCGTGAAATCTTCAATAGAAACTAGCTGTATGAATTTTATTTGTCTTAAATATAATTAGATTATATCTCAAGTCTCAAGCGCATACTTAAATAAAGGACCTACGTAAATAGTACCCACTTTCTGTCATAGTCAAATACATTTAAAAAAGTATGTGTCCAAAAATAAATGACATAAAAATTATTTCGAAACAACAAATGTGTTATCACCTGTACCAATTCAATACCGGTATTATACTGTAAATTTTGGGATGTTACCTAAATATATCGCACAGCCGCTTTTTTGTAGCCATCCGAACTTGGTCAGGTTATGTAGGTTTTCGATGCTTCGTCAGTATTATAATTGTTTTCTTTAATTACTGAATTTAATGACATGAAATTTTGCATGTGAATAGTTGAATGAATACACTAATTACTGGCATACATTTTACCATGCAATTCATTTAGAAAGTCGTGATATTTGACTGCTTTGTAAACAGTGATCTATTCATGGTAAATTTGTCCTAATTGTCCTATAACTATTTAATTACTAACGGAACATCATTGATACTTGGCAACATGTTGCAGACACTTACAAGGTTTGTATAAACGTGAAAATCTAGACCCCAAAGTGCATACTTTAAGAACTAGGACCTGATAAGCGTATTTTACGTTTATATTTTTATCTTGTAAACCCTACGATTTTTTCTAAATCTGATTTTTAAACAAATATAAACAAATTCAAAACAACGTGTGTAAAAATCTACAGCTCTCTATGTAAGCGCTTTATATGAAAACTAGCTAATGGCCAAACGTTCGCGTAGCGGAAACTTGAATTTCTCCGAAGTTTATGCATGCACTAGTTTTATTCATACATACACAATCACACACAAATACACACTAATTTTTGGATACATCTCTTTTCCTCTAAAGTCTATGGATTAAAAAAAGTTCCGCCAGGACAACGTTCGCCCAGCGGAATCAGTTTTTGGTGAATTTCTCCACAATGGTTGAGTGCACAAATTTTTTTTTACCATACACAATTATACGACGTCATACACTAAATATCTGCATAATTAAAATCTTTAAATTCAACAACATTCCGCTGCGCGAACGCACGCGCTTTTGCCCTCGACTCCGTTCGCGTGGAACAGCAACTTCCTGCAGATTTTTTGTATAAAAACCAAAGGCGTGAAGAAAAGATAGATAGACAGTTACTTTCGCATTTATAATATTAGTTTAGATAATGGACTCTTCCCTCACGGAACAACACTGAGTTATCTACAAGCTGTTTTTTCGGGTCTGGGTGTGATGTGTATGCGAATTTGTATGTTTGTAAACGCACCCACGACACGGGTGGATCTCAAAATTCCAGCTGCAGAGCAACGTTTTAAAAAACTAAACTAGATACCTTTTCTCGGAAATTGTGTTCTAAAAACTATACCTAGTTTTATTAAGCGTGAGCCTACTCAGCCACGAATGTGACTGAATTATAGCATAGCAAAAAAATTGGGTAAAATCAATGACGTATTACATATAGACACGTCATGAACCAACATCGCGGCGCTTAAAAACGGCGAAAATACAAGATAACTACTTCTACGAGTAAAGAAAGGGAAAGAAAATATGACATCGTATAGTGGAATGCCTTTGCTAGAGGGAGATAAATATACATCTTCAGTTATGCCGACGGCACGTGACTATACCTTCATGCGCCGGCCGCCATAAGATGGCGGGCGCCGGCGTCGAAAAAAATAAAATAAAAATAGGTTGTTTGGTGAACTTACGCATGAAATGACACATTCTTGTCTTTAACTTTTGGAGTATAATTTGTACATCGTCTGAACACACACGACGACATGCTTTCTTTATGTTTCGCACAGGTTTACACACGATATAAATTAAAAACAAACGTAGCGTCGCGCGGCAGGTTGGTGCGTAACTAAGCGCGATGTTGTCAATTGCCTTCATTTCATGTTGTCATTTTAGAGCGCGGACAACGTATCTATAGTTTTATACATCATTGGGTAAAATGAAACACTCAACACGATATCAGGCTCATGGGGCAGACAAGAGTGCATACCACTACATAGTAGAAAACGAAATCGTTTTTAATCTAAAACTTCGCAATGTATTATGATGAAGATTTTTTAATAGGTAGAGTGATTGCAACTATCTTTGACCCACGACTCCGTTCTTTGTTTGTTTTTGGTATAAAAACTATCCTATGACCTTTCTCGAGTTCCAAACTATGTAAGTTGAAATCGGTTCATTAATTTAGGCGTGAAGAAAAGACAGACGGACAGACAGTTACTTTCGCATTTATAATATTAGTTTGGATTTTACCTCTATAGCAACCGTATGAAGCTGGGGCTGGTCGCTAGACCCTACTAATATAAAAATGTGAAAGTTTGTGAGAATGTGTGGATGTACTTATGTTCCTTATTTTTTCACGCAAAAACGGGTAAACAGATTTTGTTGAAATGTGTTATGTAGATAGGGAGTTGAGTATACTACCATAAAATAAATAACAAAAACAAAGCAATTATTTTGTGTAATACTTTTATTAAAAAATTAAAAATTCTGTCTTACTTTTCTTTTTACAGTATATTACAAACATATATTAGACAGTACAGTGATTACGCTGTAGATTCAATTTTTTCATTGTTTTCCTAAATAAATACATTAAACAAATTCGAGTATCTTTTTTACTAGACAATGAGATTGAATATTGTTTAGACGGCCGCAGATCAAACTATACAAATTAATTTTATTATTTTACATAACATTATTGAGAGAAGCTCAACAACATTGGATAGGTTGAAATGCATTCGTCTTTATAAACAATATTTTTTTATAAATACTTGGTTTTTTCACCATATAGTCGACTAATGTCCATAGATTGTACTTTTTGTACTTAACAGTGATGAAAAGTTATTATAATACAAGAAATCACGCATTTATTCCACAGGGGAAGAGCAGTGTGCATTTAGATGTAAATAAGGATGGATAGGTAGATTCCAAGGATGAAATCGTATCTGATAGGGTGGAATGGGAATGTTCACATTGCAATAAGGAAAGAGCCTACTGCCAAACATTGGTCACACAAAACTAGACAGTTATTACTAGAATTACGGATACAATCCAAGGTATGGATTGAAAACGGGTAATTTATGCTCGATAGTTGCATCACTACCAAGTCAGTCAGAATTTTGTAGTAGCTACAACATTTTGAAAGTCAAGAAAACTACTTGAGTCACAATCATGAATGACTAGATTTCGAGTCCATTAGACGTATAATTGTTATAAAACAAATAATTTTGTCCACAACTATGTCATTCTATAGAACAAATTGCACGAGTCATTTCTGAGTGTACCTACACATTGTTTTGTTTAACAATATCTTTATATATACAAAGTATTTAAATATCTAGGAATCGACTGTCTTTCCATATGAGCGACTATAAATCAGCGAAGTTTATTGTTCATTATACATAGTGAGGTGTGTAAATGAAACGCATACACTTTATTATAAATATAATAATATTGTGATCTGTTAACAAGGTCGTAACACTATCACTGACTGTCGAATATTTACAGTAAGACAGGCGTACGAGGCGCACTATCGCAGAGTCCGTGGTCGCGGCACTAAAACGTGTCGGCGGCGAGGGGGGCGGAGCGCTAGGGCGCGGCGCGGTCGCGCAGCCAGGCGCGGAAGGTGTCGCGGCGGCGCGCGGCCAGGCGCGGCTGCGAGGCGCGCGCCGCCGCGAGGCAGCCGCGCCGGTACAGCTGCAGCGGGCGGAAGGCCAGCAGGCGCGCGGCGCCGCAGTCGGCCGGCTTGCGCCGCGCGTGCGCCGCGGCCGGCTGCGGCGCGGCCTGCGAGTGCGCGTTGTGCGTGTAGCCGGGGGCCCGCGCGCGCGCGTTGCGCCGCAGGAACACCGGCTTGGGCGGCGGCGCCGCGCCCGCCGCGCCGGCCGCCCGGTAGCGCCAGGCCGCGTCGTCGGGCGCGGCGCGCGCCGCCAGCAGCTCGAAGGTGACGCGGCAGGAGTCGCCGCCGTAGAGCTTGACGAGGAAGGCGGAGTGGTCGTGTCGCAGCAGCCTGGCGGCGCGACGCACGTAGGCGGGCGGGCCGCGCATGCCGGCGCGCGCCAGCTCGGCGGCGCGCAGCGACCAGGGGTCGGCCACGCAATGCTGAAGCTGGCGCACGGCGATGCTGACGAGCTTGTCGAGCGTGTAGGCGGGGTAGGCCTTGATGCCGAGCATCTCGCGCGCGGCGTCCTCGTAGGCGGGCGCGTCCATGTTGCCGTCGAGCACGGCGCGCACGAGGTCGAGCAGCACGGCGTAGTAGTGCGCGGGCTCGGCGGCGGCGGCGGGCAGGTTGCTGGGCCGCAGACGCAGCGCGTGCGCGACGGGGGGCCGCGCGGGCCGCTCGGCGGCGCGGGCGCGCTGCAGGGCGGCGGCCGCGCGCCGCGCCGCGCCCAGCCGCTGGCACAGCGCGCCGTGCACGCGCAGGAACAGGTACCACGACGACGTGCACACAAACCGGGCCTCCTGGTCAACAAATAAACAAAAATTAATAATACATCATTACAAACATTCAGGAAGGAATAATGAAAATTTATATGTATACAAATCAATTTCACGTCGAAACCACCAAATTCAATACAAAACATACGAGCATACATAGTATTTGCAACACAATACTTACATTAGGCGGATGATCTCGATAATCCTCCTCAACATCCTGCGGCTCCGACTTAATATCAGTCTTCATTGACATCTCCTCATTACTGCTAGTACGCTTCACACTGTTAGCTGACCCTATTGAGCTTTCTGTAACAAAAATTTCGGATACATTAATTTCAATATTTTTTAAGTAGATATGAAAGTAATGTAGGAGTTTCTAATAAATATGTTTGAATGAGACATTTCAGTAGGAAGGCAGCATGCGTGTATCACCACTGACATTCTGTAGTTTGCACATCGCACGGTTTGTCATCATTGTCTCAGGAAAAATTTAATATAACATTTTTTACCAAACATAAAAAAAAGATCTATATAACTTTACTTCTAGCTAAGGAATATAATCATGATTACCAAAGGAAAAAACCGGAGTTAGTATATTTTATGAAAATATTAAGTTAGAATCTCAACCATGAATATAATAAATTACCTTTGCTGTCTGTATTGTTATTGTTCTTGGGCTTATTTTCTTTATTCTTATTGTTTTTACCGCTCTTGTCCGAAGCGTTGTCAGATTCTGATGACTGTGGACAAAAAAAAACAAAGTAATTTAAATAACTACCTTTTTACCTAAAAATCTTCTTTTGAGAACAAGGATAGCAATCTTTAGGAACGAATGGATTGGCTCAACCGGAGTGATACCATGGCCTCACAAAAAACTTGTGTGATACAATTAAAGCTTTGTGTTTCACTGAAGGCTCAACAAATCCTTCCTCTCTCCAATCCCTTAATCTCCAAAACCCTAATCTCTACAAGGCCGGCAATGCACTCGTATATTGTCTGGTGTTGCTGCTGTCCATGGGTGGCGCCGATTGCTTGCCATCAGGTAATCCGTCTGCTTATTTCCTGTCCCTATCACATTGAAAGAGATCATCAGCTTACCTCTTGTTTCTCCTGCTTAACATCATTGGTATTCTTGTCTTCAGGATTCTCCGTGGTCGGACTCCCTGGACTACCAGCCTCATCTTTCTCTTCTGTAGAACAAAAGGTTCATTATTATTACATGTATTTATAAGCTAAGAATTTGTGGTATGTTGATAATTACTCTAACATCACGCCTTTCTATCTTACTTATATTATAAATGCGAAAGTTACGATGTTTGGATGTTTGTTACTCAATCACGCCAAAACTGCTGGACAGATCTGGATGAAATTTGGCACAGGCATAGGATTCACACGTAACATAACACGCGGGCGAAGGCGTGTCATGTCTCATATAAAATTAATTCTGTTTGCTTGCTTCTTGCACCAACCATTGGCTCATCTCTGCATCATCCAAGGCTCGATTGGTAGAAAATGCCCATTAAGTCTGCCTCACTCTCTCTCTCATTGACTCTCTGTGTCTCAATGACTCTCGACTCATTGTGCATAAAGTTTAAATAAATATAAAATTCTGTTTATTATTTTGAGATATAATTCCAAACATCATAATAATAGCATAGCATAACTCTATACAGCTTTTACAGGTATTTAATAATATTTAAATTGTTTAAAAAGGCGTGATGGCATACTATTTAAAAGAGACATTTCAGTAGGAAGGCAGCATGCGTGTATCACCACTGACATTCTGTAGTTTGCACATCGCACGGTTTGTCATCATTGTCTCAAATTATAATTTTTAACCAAATGTAGCTTAATTTTCAAACATTTGTTTTACCTAATTTACATAAATGTACTTGACAAATAATAATGTGAAATGTGTATAAACTAATAAAAAATATCCTTTAGCTATCACTTAACCTTTCAATCGTAATTCGAGACACAATAGTAAGAGAATAGGTGCACGAACGCCGGCGTTCGCTTGGGGTTTGATGAATTAAACACGATCAGTAATTAACCAGACACAGTTATGTAGTTATTTTACCATTTCACATCAATATTAGCCTAAGGGCTGATTTTTGAATAGTCAGATGAATGTTATAAAATTGTTGCTGTCCCTGTCTTAAACAAACATTTTGACGCGACAGCATCATAATTATTCTGCAGATAACTTTTATCTAACCATTGAAAAATTTGCCCTAAATATAAATATAGAATAAATTGTTTTAAATCATACCTTCATCCCTCTCATCATCAGACAAGGGTTGTCGTGGATGAGCGAAGAGATCAGGCAGAAAATGTCTGAGCAGTTGTTTGATGCGACGCTTCTCAGTCTTTTGAATGGCGGTCTGGCGTCGAGCGTGGTGGATTAGTAGTTCCGCTGTATCGCGAAGGATTTTTATTGCTGTTGACAATACAAATTTCATGTTAATACATGTGAAAATTTATATAATATATTAATAATAAAAAAACTATACATAGACACAAGATTCTAAACGATAAACAACTGGCCTATCCCTGCTTTTTTAGCAAACCCCCATCTAAGGCCAGGCATCAGAGAGCTGGTTCTTTCAAAATTTTCAGTATTCATGTACTTTTAAATTTTCTTTTAAACATCCTGTTTTATTAAATGCAGCATGGAAAGATAAATTATCTGAATAGGTCTAGGCGTTTACGCGGACCCATGACCAAAGGAAATGGGCATTATTTTTTATGTTTATAGATAATTGTATTCTGGAAATAGTAAAATTACAATTACTTGAGTTTGACAGTCTGCTCGGCAGTATGTTCGACTCGAATATGATTAATTAAGATATTGAATTCATATAAAATCTTATATCTGAATGTCACACTACATAAGCAACCAATTACATTGATTAGGCCTACGTATATAAAAAATAATCTAATAAAACAAAGTAACTGGGTGAAACTAGCAGAAAAGATTAACTTCCAATACCTTCTATTACTTGAGAATTTAAAGGAAATAATTGATTTTAATTGTTACCAGTGAAAACGGAAGTTTTGCCGCGCAATGTAACGAGCTAATAATTGTTTTATTTCCTATTCATTATAGTTGGCGGATAAGTAAATAGTTAATTAGCTTGCCTAATCTACATAGTAATGGGTATAAACATAATTTTTGTGTTTTTTAGTCCATTTATCGAGGGTGGCTATAAGACATCACGCTATGATCTGTAGGAGCCGAGCAGCGGGTAAAACCATGCGAGAGAAGCTAGTCACCACTATGATTAAACCTTTTTGTTTCTCATTCCGCCGCTAAGAGTCAAAGCGAAAGAACAACATTTGCAATTCTGATTCTATGAAAACTAGACTACCTCTCCCCGCAACCCGTCACCTATTAGCGATTTTGTTTTCGTACTGAAGTTTGTTTTCGCGTGGTCATTAGGTTGAGGCGTCTGTGTTAATGACTAACGCAATCGACAACATAAACCTAATTCCTTCTCATGGCATACAAAATCGTAATATAATCCTAATATGACATAAGAATGTTTAATAAATGAGAAAAAACTAAACATTGGCGCGCACTTTGTTTGTATACGTAATTCACGCGTGACCTTAAACTGAAGGCCAAGTGACGCAACAGTTCTACAACTTTATATAAAGACACGATCTACTTTATTTTTAGGCCGTGAATAGGTGTGTGTAGGTGTTACTTCGATTCTTGGGGAAGGGAAAGTGTTTTGGTTTATAGTAGATAGTATTGAGAAGTTAATGCATAAATTAATTACAACATTAATAATTTTCTTTTCTCATTTTTTGGCATACGTCGGCAAACGAGCGGACGGATTACCTGATGGTAAGAAAATTAACGCCGTCCATGGACACTAGAAATAACAAAGGAGTTACTACAAGAGCGTTACGGACTTAAGGACAGGGAATTTGTGGTGGAGATTGGACCTCCGGTACCTCACTCACATAGCGAAACACAACTTGAAAGTTGTTTCAAGACGGTATTCTGTGAGGTGTGGTTGTCTTTCAAGGCCTTCATGAGGATATTTGAGGATCGGGTATGTATGGATTGAGGATAGGGAGAGTCGTAAATAGTAAATTATGAAATTCAATTTTCCTTACCTTCCTGTCGACTTTGCATGTTGTAATCGACAACTACATGAGGGCCCGGTCGCCGCGCCGCGAACGCAGACTCGACTTCGTTAAACAGAGATTTCGACCGCATTGCTTTCAGATCATTCTGCTTGAAGTTAATCCCTTGATGGTCGAGGGATTTTAGATAATATTTCTCGTTTTGTTCACGCCATTGCTTATTGAATCCCTGTTGAAAAAAATTGAGGTTACTTTATGATTATTATAAGACAGATCTGTAAAGAAACTACAAAGTTGAACAATAACCGGTCGAATAATAAGCTGAACGTAAAATTAAAGAATTATGGTGTCTTATACAAGTTAAATTAATACTTTTTTTTAACAAATTCTTTTATTTTCATGGTACAAGTAAGCGATTAATTCCACCCATGGGTACTCTCAACACCAGAGAATTTACAGATACATTGTCGGCAACAGACCAAGTATTTTTAGGATTTTAAAGTTTGTTTACAAATGGTTGAATTTACAAAAAAAAAAGTTATATTGTAGCCAGTCTTTTAATTATATAGGAATTATATATATTGAAAACTGGCGGCCCTCCCCTGCTTCGCACGGGTCCAACTATCAAACTAAAAACGAAAGGGTCATTTTTTCTAAATTTTCCTCCGTACTTTTATAATATTTTCTTTCATAAGAACCTTCTACTAACTATAAGAGATACAACAAAAAAAGAATTGTCTAAATTGGTCCAGGCGTTGTCGAGTTATAATCTTACCAAGCCAGTTTGCGATCCATTTTTATATATAAAGAAGATATAACGCCGGATTTGCGAAGTCATCGCGTCGCGGACGCTACTCATGAATTAAAGTCCCGTTATGGCTTGAAACTAGTACATATTCTCTGAGTTAATTCGCGTGCGTAAGTCGTTATTTTAAATATTAGGGTGACTGGTAATTAGTGACAGATATTTAAACACGTGAATGTGCTAAGGATAATAAACAAGTTTCCGAAAGAAACTATTTTTCTATTCTCATTAGTTTTATTTTTATTACTATAGAAAAATTACTGTGTAAAGTTCAAACGAGGTCGCGCGGTGCCTCACCGCCATCAGCTGATCGGGCGCTGCCTTTTTTTTTGTCAGGGTAAAATCATCCAATGACTTCTCCCGCCCAGGGTAAGGCGAGAGAGAGTGTCAGACTCTTACTGACTAAAAACGCCCCGTTTTTTTCTCCTGCTTGGGGCCGAGGTCGCGGTGCCTCATTGCGCTTACCCCGCCACCCCAGCTGATCGGGCGCTGCCTGAGTTTATTATTAGTAATAAAAACAAAACGAATGAGTATATATGTTTCGTTGTTATTAAATTTTACCTTCTGAGCCTCCCGCCATTCGTCTTCTTTAGCCTTTAGCCGGCGTAGTACGACAGGCACGGCGACTACAGGGTTCTTCTTGAGACCGGCTATTATGTCCACAGCCTGCACAAAAGAGAATTACGTTATAACATAGGAAATAAGACACTTACATCAATTTTATTACCAATGTTCCACGTAATCTCGACAGATTTCAAAGAAAGAAAGCTATAAAATAAGGTAAAAAAAAAGTTATAATTCAATATTTACTATCACCAGTTGTACAACAAAAACTAATAATATGATTATCTATAATGATCGTTTCTAGATTTTGGTTTTTACATCATAAACCTCCATAATTTGGGAGTTAAACCCAAGCGACATGTTAACAGTCATTGTAACAACCACTTATTTTCTCGTGTGCCGTGGGTGCGAACCCGCGACAGGTTACAAATCGGCCACCGCGTCAACTGTGCAGTCGTTTATGAAGTATTTATTTATACACAATTGATACAAAACAGGATCCCAGTTTTTGTAAAAGACCTGTGTTTACATACAAGTTTGAATATTTGTTTGTTTTCTGGTTTTAGTTCAATATTTTTTATCATTAGCATATTTATCAGTTAAATATATCAGAAAGCTGTACACCTGGCGATTAGCTTTGTAACTATGTTTCAATGTTTAAAAATTATATAGCACTTCTATCTACAGCTACAAGCTAACATTCCCCACCGTTTCTTGGTTTCTTTTTATAGGATAGGTGGGCCACGTTAATGGGCATAGCTGGCTGCTATGGCAACTATCTTGCATCTTTACTAATTTTATAAAGAGGTAAAATTTGTAAGTTTGTATGTAGGGGGTAACCTTTGGAACCAATGGTCGGACCTCCAAAATTCTTTCACTGATATAGCTACATTGTTCCTGAGTGCCATAGGCTATAAAACATCACGCTATGATTCAATGAAACCGCGCGAGAGTAGCTAGTTTTTTATATGATAAGTGATGGTAAGCAATCGGCGTCGCCCATGGACAACAGCAACAAGAACGAGGTACGAGTATATTGCCGGCCGTTTGGAGTTTAGAGATTTAAATATTGGAAGAATGGAAATGGGCAAGATTTTAGCCTCCTGGATTTGCTCTAGAAACTCCCATTCTATAATATATTCCTTACAAGTGTAGGAAGAATGCACATATCAATGTAACACACTATTCACCAGATTAAAGTCCCATATTGTAAATGGGAAGTAAGGCTATCGCCATAAATACTAAGCTCTACAAAGCTGCACAGTCTAAAAGGACAGCGGTGCAGGGTGCATCAACTTAAAAAATAAAATAAACCATAACCAACTTAAAAACTAACTAAAATCTAGATATAAAAGAGCAGAGACAAAGGCATGCAATGCTGTGTATAAATAAAAAAATAATAAAAAAAAATAGCAAACTACGGCATTTGGTTTTTAACTGTGGTTGGGCAAAAAATATCGTAATTTGTAGGAGAATTGCTGAGGTAGCTTTTATAAATATTGTAACATCCAAGCTGGAAACATAAGTTATATAATATTTTACTTTCTACATAACATAAAATAAGATATATAATTTTTTATCACCGCTGAAAGTTTTAAATCAATTTTTAACATAAATCTAACATAAATTTTAGATGGTAATCTTTCCTGTTTAAAAAAAAAAGAGTACGGTACAAAATTACAAATATTGAAAAGAGTGGATCCTCCTAATTAAGCATTGTTTGCTTAAATGGGGGCTCCAAACACGTTGAAATGTAATGTGCTTACTTATTGACACAATAAAACTATTTTGTAATAAACTTGGCAACAACCAATTACTTTGAAAAGCTCACTACGGCAGCAACTTGTGAAATTAAGTGACTAATGAAGCAATAATAACTTTAAAGGCCAAAAATACTGACTATGCCCAACCCAGCTCTAAATACAGGCAGACTTAGTATACGAGGCGTGTAAAAGCCTCCGATCCTACGTTGCACAGCATGCCTAATAGTCCGACTCGATCGTACCACCTTATCACCGTAAATCCGCCGCAGCGCCCTCTGGTGTATGGTCGGGGAATGTCCTCCGAGGCAGTCGTCGAGCCGATATTTGGCTGCATCTTCAGGCGTCATGCGGGCGAGCTTCTTTTGTACGCCTTCGAGGACGCGGATTGTTGACGCGTTCGTTTCTATTACGACATCCAGCTGGAATTTGAGGAGATGCATATTTAGAGTGGTTTCTTAAACTTTGTGAAATTGTGATAACAAATTAATACTTTGATCATGACACTGTGATTGATATTAGGAAACATATTTGAAATCTTTGTTTCTCTGAGGGGAAAAATGGCAGTTAAACATGCTAAAGTCTAGTATTACGTATTTAAACGACGGTTATTTATATCCCATATTACATGTTTAACCATACCTTTACGTTTGGTAGAAGACCCGTAAGTGACATGACATATAACCCAATTTCAAATTTACTATAACTATACAAAAGACCCGGATAAAAGTTAGATAATGCGCTTATGTTAATAAGACTAAAATAATGCAGAATATGAGAGTGCCAACACTAACCTCGAACCTCTCATCCTCGCAGCGATAGATGTACTCCTCGTACTGCGTCTTGCGGCTGGTGACAAATGTGGAGTCCTCGCTCCAGGTGGGGAAGGAGACCCAGGTGTCGTTGAGCACCTCCCGGCACAGCGCCGTGCGCCCCGAGCAGCGCCGCGCCGCCGCCTCGCGGGGCAGCGCGCAGTACGACGTGCCTAGGCGCTTGCATGTCGATAAATCTGGAAAAGACGTCTTCTTTTAGTATAAATGGCCACAAAATTCATCTTAATTTATTGTTATGCCCCTACACAGCCTTCTAGACTTAATACTAAATAACTTTGGGGTTTAAAGCTATCTTGTCCTTCATTCTCTACTATTAGACATAATAAAGCTATAAACAGAAGGCTGGTTCAAGAAACCAAACTATTCTACACCAATCTAACACACGCGTTTGCCTCATAATGGAATACCACCACATTCCTTACATACATTATTAAGATTTTCAAAATGAAGATTCTCAAGGAGAATTTATACTAATCAAAGAAAAATGTACTTCTTGGTCCATTCCTAATGGGATTTGAAGATCAAACAGTCGTCGTTGTGTTGGACTCCTTTTTTATCAATATACAGATTGTATAATTACCAATATCCATAGCGGCGTCTCCCTGCGGCCTGTCGTGTCGCAATTGTGCCCCGAGAGGTCCAATCGGCTCGTACCGCAGCTTGGGGTCGCTGGCGGCGGGGGGACGCTCCCGCTCGAATACTACATTGCTCGCACTGCCGAATGTAGCGCTGTTGTAACTTGCGCCTAGAAATTAAGTACAAAATATTACATTTAAATGTAAATTGGTTAACGTCGTGCTTGTATCTGATATTAGGTTCAACATTAGACCAATTATTAAATATATTGATTCATATAAATTGCACAAAAACTAAGGTACCATTTACTGTTTTCTGAACCAAAATTAATTCTCTCTCCTAAATGTGGTGTAATTGTAAAAATTCAGTTTACTGTGTAAGATTTCAACTGTTTTATACAATAAATATATTGAGTATTGCAAATCTGAAGAAGAATCTGTCTGGATGGAAAGTAGATATATGCCGATATATATGACGAACTTAGCGTCACTCTTAAACCTAGTACTAAAAAACTTAAAATAATGCAACTTACTGCTGTGCAAAGTGTTAGTAGGCGTATGAGGTGGCGATGGGGGTCCAAGGAAGTCTTGCAACCACTTCTGTAGCTCCGGGTGACGGCAGAGGAAGGGCGCCGTCACCGACAACAGTTCCGACGACGATATTATCTCGTTCGTAAATAGCAAGAGACATCTGTCGACAATAGTATAGCATTAAACATTGAATATATTTATACTTAGAAATAGTAAATAAAACTTATTAAAAACCTTTACATGTCGGTAGATTTGGCTACAAATTTTAACAAAATGTTTTAATAAAAAATAAAAATCCTAATTTTGTTATTACAGTAGTCATTAGGCCTACGCCTTTAAGCATTAGCTTTCTTTAACCTTTCTATCGTGGTTAGGTGTGCGAACGCCGGCATTTGCTGGGGGTTTGGTGAATTAAGCGCCTGTTTTCTACATATTCGTACTTTTGGGATAGAAATAAAATGGGTCAAAGAAAAAAAAATTTTAATTATGTTCCTCTCTATGGCAATAAATCGCGTGATGTTATGTATGTTTGTAGCCAAATCTAACGAAAAATAGGTTATCAAGTAAATGAGACATTTCAGTAGGAAGGCAGCATGCGTGTATCACCACTGATATTCTGTAGTTTGCACATCGCACGGTTTGTCATCATTGTCTCAAATCCCAAAAATATATATTGTAAATTAGATAATTTTGTCACAGACTGTAATTAGGCTGTCAGCTCTGACGACGTTAAATTTTTTTTTTCATGTACAAGTTCATTGACCTTTTTATTTTAAAATGTTTATCAACAATGATTGCACAATGCACATTGCCTAATTTATATTAAGTTTTGTAGACAAAAAGAATGTTTTTTTTTTTCTAAGTATGCATGGCCATACATATTACCTCTGCTTACACTTCAGACATGTTAAAGCCATGTTTAGCATATCATTAACAAAAAAAAATTGTAACCTTTTAGCAAAAAAGTAAGGACACTATTTATAATGGAAACTAGCTACACTCGCGCGGTTTCACCCGCTGCTCAGCTCTATTTAATCGTAGCGTGATTTTTATAGCCTATAGCACTCAGGAACCTTGTAGCTATCTATCTGTGAAAGAATGTTGGCAATACGACCAGAGGTCAAAGATTACCTACATAATTATATACTTACAAACTTTACCTCTTTATAATATTATATAGTAAAGATTTAGATAAAGTAGATAGGTGTGCCAACACCATATCATTTAGCATTTACCCCTTGCCTCAACAGAAGACAGTCCTGACGACTGTAAATGTATAGTTTTCTTTATGAATAAAACAAATATCTTACCTCAAAAAGTTGTCGTAGACGTGTTGCGACCTCAGAGCTTTGCGCGCCCTGTCAAAGAAGTTGAACTCGTGCACCGTGGCCAGTTTGGAGGCTTCGGCGTAGGACACGTCGCGGACCGTGGCCCCCGTCAGACCTGATAGACGAGACTTCTTTGCTGGGGGCGCGCCTACTGCTGTTGGGGAGAAATAAGTTTATGAGTGACATATTACAGTAGCGTATATGTTTATGGTTAGGTTATTTTTATTTGTAATAAGATTATATTCTTAAGTCCTTAAGTATGTTCTTAAGCATAAAGTGTGATCTTTGTTTTACAAAAATTATTTATTTGTTTATTTTTATTTTATTCTGATATTTGTTTCTGCTGATAATTGTGGTTTGTGTACTAATGAGTTTGCCAAAAGAAGTGTCTTATTGTTATAAAGTTTCTTTTCTAGAGAAATTGGAATAACTGCAAGACTGGTATTTTGTCTTTGTTTACTTAAATAAATTTTCTACAAAATTTCAATCAATAGACTGGTATTTTCTTTCATCATTTCCACATGTAAATTTATAGTATAAAAAATTTTCGCTACATGTATAAGCTCAAATCTCGAGAACGACTGAACTAATTTCGATAAGGACTTTTTGATGTGTTTTGGTTTCAGGAAAAGGTTACTATAAAAGATAGTTGCTTAACCTTCGAGACATAAGTAAAGCGGGTAGAAATTTAATAGGATAACTTACCCATCTGACTAGATGACGTGAAGCTGGGAGATCGTTTGAGATGATGATGTTGTTGGGGTGGAGCAGACACCGAGCTGGACGTCGAACCCGTATGCTTGGGCAGCTGCTGTACAAAGAAAAACAAAATATTAAACACATTTTTCATTGAAGAAATAATAAATTTAAAGTCGAGTAAATTAACATTTTATAATATTGTAAAAATAAACATTACATTGATACTTCCTAGAACATACTAAGTAAATTTTTGACAACTCTGCTATTTTATTAAAAAGAACTCAAATGTATTTTGCAATTAGACTTTAATCATGTATGTTTTGTTACTATTTTAGTTTCCTCAATATTACTTTCTTGTTATCTATTAACATGCTACTATGATTGTAAAAGTATTAATTTCATTATATTAAAACAGGCTTCATCCTTAATGTTATAAAGCTGGAGATTTTGTTTGAGAGTGTCAAGCTCCAGATTCTTTTTGTGTTTGTTAGTCTATTTATCGAGTAACTTCAGGCTATAAAACATCACGCTACGATAAGTAGGAGCAGAGCAGTGAGTGAAACCTCGCGAGATAAGCTAGTACAACATTATCTATGTCACAAAGTAATAAATAGAATCTATATTTTTAACAAGACAATAATAATTTTGAAGAAGCTAAAATAGTATCAAAACATACATGATTAAAGTCACTTCAAACTCAGTATTGAAAAAACATGAATAAAAGTATGTATCACTATCAGCGGTGTAAACAATGTTATCTTTAGACCATTAGCCAAGAAACACAGTATCAGTATATTTTATCACACACGTATGAAACAGTCGCGTGCTGATACTGCGTTTTATCACGTATCTTCATTGTGATAAGAATTTGAATAATATTAAGTAACTTTTTGAAGGGTTACTTAATATGCGTGTCGCTTGGACAGTCTACGCTACACCCTTGTTGACTGGACAATCTCTGCACTACATGAGCTGCTGTTTACATGTGAACTCATACCGCTAAAGCTCGTGATGATTCCCAAGTTTAACTACTATAATATTCAACTTCAGTATAAAAATTTGATAATGTCACATTGTGTACATTGACAAAAACTATTTAGGTAATTTTTAGGGCTAGTTGCAAATTGCCAACTGATGTTATAAGTTCAGTTTTTTAATCAGTTTGGTTTGCTAGACTTCTCAGAAATGTTCATTTGACTTACAGTAATGTTGTCATTTTTTAGAGACTTACTTTGAAATATGCCATCTTTAATGATCCTAGCCTGACTAACCAGACCTAAACCACAATTGGATAGTTTCCTAGGTAAAAAATAAAGTAATTCGACGTTTTGATACAATAAAGTGTAGAAAAATAACTATACTGTTATTCATAGATTTATCTATACACTAAGTTTTTGATGTGTTTAGGTAATATTTAAAAAATAAGTAAGAAATTATCATAGTCAAATTTTGGAGTTTGACATTTGGGTAACAGTCATCAATTTGACTAGTTGGAAACTACCGTATTAACCCTTCTTCCACCTCTAGATTACCCCAAAGCAGACATGTTAAGTATACATACGGGAGCATGATGATGATGCGCGAGATGGTGTGGATGCTGGGCGTGGAGTGTGTGCGCGGCGTGAGGGGGAGGGGGGGACGCGCTGCCGCCCGGGAACCGCTCCGCTTCAGACTCCACGCGAGATGACTGGGGACGGAATATTTACATTACTACATTTATTCATATCAAATTCAAGATCATTGTATAGAATGACAATTTCATCAACCAATGTGGAACATATGGAATTAACAAACAAACTATAAGAAATATTGTGTTTTTAGTAGCATCTACGGCGCGCTAAGGCCACAAAAGCTTGCATTTTGCAACTTTCACTGCATTTTACTACTAAATGGGGATTTTGGGTACAAATCCTTCTAACAAACATATGAAGTCTATCCAACAGTGAACATCTTCCAACAAATAACTTCATAGTTACGTAGATAAAGTTCATAGTTACCTGATGGTGGGCTGGCACAGGCGGCGAGCGTACATGCGGGTAGTGACGCTCGCGGCTCTCTGGCGCCGGCTTGGTTACCGCCTTAGCGTCAGGAAGAAACTGACCGAACTCCGCCAGCAAGTCATCTTGATTCTCAAATAACTTCGCCACCTAGAGTAAGAAAAAGTTTAAGAGTTACTTCGATGGAATTTCTAGTAATTATAAAATACATAATTATACTTTAGTGTGGACGAAGGGGTCGGCTGGACCGGAGTTATACTACGGCGTCACAGAAAACCAGCGTGATTCAACTAGAGCGTTGCTTTCGCCGTGCGAGTGATGTCCAATCCTTCTTTTCTCCCCTATCCATCCCCAATCCTTAAATATCTGAAAACCCAATTATACAAAAGGCCGGCAACGCAACGGCATAAATCTTTTTAAGTGTGGGAGAGCCATGCTTCGGCACGAATGGGTCGGCTCGACCGGAGTGATACCCCGACCTCACAGAAAACCGGCGTGAAACAACCAAAGCGTTGTGTTTCGCCGTGTGAGTGAGGTTATCGGAGGCCCAATCTTTCTCCTTCCTCAATCCCTAAATCTCCAAATCCCTAATCCCTAATAGGTCGGCAACGCACTCGTAACTCCTCCGTTGCGGGTGTCCATGGGCGGCGTTGATTGCTTACCATCATGTAAATCGTCTGCTAGTTTGCCGACCTACTTATTAATAATAAAAAAAAAATCGCCTGACGAATGACTCAAAATGAATACTTCTGTATCACAAAGAGTGAAATAAGCTACAAACCTGAGAATACACCTCCTGTTCAGTCTGCTGTTTGGCTTGGGGTTCCTTCATCTCCCGATGTCCGCGCTGATAAGCGTGCAGGATTTCCAAAAACCGCTTATACTTGTCCGGTTGTCTCGAAAAACGGGACTGCAATGAAATAACTTACTTTAGTAACTGATATTTATACAAAAATATTGCGAGAAACTAGTTTATTTAAAATCAGAACTCAAAAGAGCAGCCGCTAGTTTTTATCATTAAAAATCAATCGGTAATTAATTTCATCATTATAGTAATGTTGTGTGTTTAGGTATTTAAGTTAATGATGTGGTACTGAGTCATCTGATTGTAATTTTGTCTAACACTCGACAAACTTGTAACTTATAAGAAGCTATGACCTTTCAACTATGAAAATGTCTTAGAAAACGAAAACATTACCGTTTACAATGCATTTTTATAAGTTTGCAGAGAAGAATTTTCAAAAAAAATTCAGCTTGATAGGTTGAAGATGTCTCAAAATTTTAAAGTAAGCTATATGAAGCCTTTACTCTAAATCCATATAAATATCACTAAAGCTTAATAAATGTTTGTTTTAAAAAACTTGTTATTAAGTTATCTTTGTGAGTTAGTCCTTTGTGTAATATGTGTGTAAAAAAGTATAAATATATAAAATTAGATTCCTTACCTTAATTTTATTGACGTATTCAATAGCATGATTAAACTCGACAGGTTGGCTGGGCGGTGCAGGCGCGGGGTGCGCGGGGTTAGCTGGCTGCGCCGACCCTATGGGTGATAGTGTGATATTATTATACATTCTATGTATAAAAATACAGTCGTTAAATATTATAAATGGATAATCAGAACTCAAAAAGAGCAGCCGCAAGTTTTTATCATGACTGATCAATCGGTAATTAATTTCATCATTTTGAAAAAATATGTTGTATACAATGTTTAGAACTTGTTTTATTTTCATCCCTTACTCTTATTTACATGTCTGAAAAACTTTGAATCAATGATCAAAATTGAACATTTTTTTTAAAGGCAGAAACATCTTGAGCAGATAAGAGAATTCTGTATATGGAATATCATAGGTATTATGTTTAGGATCAGATTCTAAATAGGTTTAATATAAATACAAACAATATTAAATGTAAGTAAACATCATATTCTACAAAATACTTTACAAAACCAGAAAATATCAATACTGTATTGTCAACTACGTAAGGAACGATTTCCCGCTTTCTAACAACGCCGCAAACAAACATTGAATACTCCAACCTCTCAAAAAAGGTATATTCTCTACTGTGTCAATATACTCAGTACTTAAGGTTATTTAAGTTTCTCTTACCAGGACCAGAAGCATGGTGTATAGCGGCTGCCTCGAGCTGTTGGTGTGCCTGTGATATCTGATGCAGCGTGTTGGTGGGCGCCGCGTTCACAGATAGATTGTGAACGATCGCGTTGTTCACAGACCTGAGGAGTTCAAGAGGAGGTTAATAAGGGTCTTTTACGATAAAAACAAAGTTATTTCGGAAAATATGGACAGTATGTAGTAAAACCCTTGTCTGTTATAACAATTTTTGATTGTTATTATTAACTAGCGTCCGTCCGCCAAAATATGTCAGTAATTAATGGAGGCCATGTGAAAAGGAGGGATAAATCGCATGTTACAAAAAAGCCATAAGTATAATGTGGATGGAGAGGGAGAGGGAGACCAAAGAAAATATGGATGGATTGTGTGAGAAATGATATGGAAGACAGAGGAGTCAGTGATAGCGTGACGAGTGACAGGACAGAATGGAAGAAAAAAACATATTGCGCCGACCCCAAATAAAACGGGACAAGGGCAGGAAGATGATGTTTAGCACTAAGGTGTAGAATAACTTACAATTAATTAAGTTAAATTATATTTAGTATTTTGTTGATCATACACTCACTATGCATGCTGTATTCACATCTAGTAGATGTCAATCATGTGAATGACAGTTTTTTGTATTTTAGTATAAGAGTTTATGATTGTACATCAGTTTAGTGGATTAAATAAAAAAAAAAAAAGATGAGCGTCCGTCCGCCAAAAGATTCGGACGCATAAAGAAGAAATGTATCCCGGGATTTTAAAAACAACAGCGTTTAAAACGATAGCTCGACAGAAATAATCTACATTGCTTGTGTGTATGAATCAATGAAAGAAATTTGGAAATCAGACCAGCTGTTTCAAAGATTACCCCCTACATACAAACTTATATACTTTTTAATATTAGTTATAGATTAATATCATACTTTATGGTCTAAACTTGTATTATCGTCAGAGACAATAAAAGAGTAAAGCTAATGATTATTGATGAAGGTTTAAAATTTGATATTTTTCTTACTATTGGGTAATGGTAAAATACAAAATACAGAAAAAGGTTTTTGTAAAATATTGTGCAATAGCTAAGCGAGACATTTCAGTAGGAAGGCAGCATGCGTGTATCACCACTGACATTCTGTAGTTTGCACATCGCACGGTTTGTCATCATTGTCTCGAGTTTTAGTAAAATTTTTAAAACTATATTTCGTATAGTAACAACACATTAACTGTTTGTATCGGTTAGGAATTTCTCAGAAACTCCTATGTCTAATACGATCAAATTATTCTTTTGTTTCAGAAAATGACTTCACCAACAAATTTGTTATTTTTAGTAAAAAATCACGTTTGAAATCTATTGTTAAACCAAAATTAGATATTTATAAAAAACTTACATTTCCATATTGGAGTATGGGCCCCCGGCGCGTCGTACCGCCTCTTTTTCAGCCTCCCTATAAAAGAAGCATAAATTTAAAATGTGACAATATAAGTCCACCTTTTAATTTACCACTAGTTAAAAGTGACTACTAACATTGTATTATGCAACTCTGCTCTACCCCTTCAGGGGATAAAACGCGTGATAATTTTGTAAATAAACAGTTAAAACCTGTTTACCGGTCAAAAGTTTGAATAAAACTAAAATTTTCAAGTCAACTGTCAAATGTTTTTTTTATTTACCCTCAAAATCGCATGTTAAGTTTCGCGTTTAGTTTTAGCTGTAATAGAAAAAAAAAACGATTTTGTTGACGATTTAATAACTGTATTATTTCGAAATGATTTTCTATTTATTTTTATGCATTTTTTAACTTCTTTAAATATGTTTTATTTTTAACAGAGTTAACAATCACGAATAAAGCCTTGTGATGGAAAATTAATTATGCAATCGTATTGAAGTGTGTAATTAAATTTGTCAAAAAGGGTTCTTAGTTTCTGAAGGTAGCATAATCAATGATATACAAAAATACATCTTAACATCTTTAACACAGAATATATTTAAAATAAAACAACACAAAAACGTAGGTAACGGGTGAACGAACTAACAACAATTTTAATACGTCACGCCAATACGTATGATTGCTAATTAGCATAACAACATTGACGTTACCCAATAATTGATGAGTTTTGTTATATTTCACGAGTTAAGTTAAATTACCGACACATGTTAAGGTATTAATTTACGATTAACGCTAATAATATATAATTTAATGATAATATAATAATGTAATGAATTTAAAAATTATGGCCTATCTTCTGAAATAAAATGTTTTTTTTAATAATAATCACGTAGATAATATAATAGTTTCTTGTGCATTAAAATTCCTTTAGACAATTGAATGAAATTAGGTATTTTTTTTATTATTTAGCATTTGATTGGCTATGACGACCTACGATTGAGCACGACTACCCATAAGCCACCTATTCCCTCAGACCTTGAAGACCCTCATATACATTTTGGGGAACACACACAGACTCCAGCAAAGAATTTCACTTTTTTCCTTGTTTCCTTTATTGTAAAGTTTAAAAAGGTTTAACAATACAAATCCCGGCAATAACTGCTTCAACATATTATAACGGTATAATATTTATTATTTCACAATACGATCACATTTAAACCCAGAATAAGAATATATGAATCACACCATTTTGTGCGGGAATTGGACCCACAATACGGTACCATTGACGACACGACATTGAACACTCGATTCTTATTGTTGTCTATACTGTAAGATATCGCTCAAGACCTCCCACTTGTACACTCTCGTTTTTATATTATCCTTAGTATATGTCGAGTGCAAAAAGTAAGTATATTATTATACCAAGCGTGAGAGAGCCATGCTTCGGCTCGTCAGAAGGAATACCACGGCCACCTTACTCCATAGAAAACAGACTTGAAACAACTACAGCGTTATTTTGCCATGTGCGTGAGGTTACTGGAGGCCCAAATCTTCTTCCCTTAGCCCGTAATCCCTATATCTCTGAACTCCTAGCCCTCAAAAGGCCATAAAGGTGACATACTCTAAAACTCCTCTTGTGCTTCTTGCTCGTTCTTCTCCATAGGAATCTACACTTTGGAACGATCAAATAGCTTCACTAGAGGACAGACGCGACAGATTGACACGCTTAATTTTAAAGCTCCTGTTATATACTTTTTTCCTTTTTTGCTTGCTTGACGTTCAAAAGGGCCTACTGTGGTCTAATTGAAATAAATGATTTTTGACTTTTGACTTTTTTGGTTGTCTATGGGCGGGGCAGATTGCTTACCATCAGGTAATATGACAGTTTGTTTGACTTATCAAATAAGGCTAAATAACTTACTGAGCAACAGGAAGGAGATGAACGAGCTGTGGCTGAGGCGGTGGCGGCGGGTGTTGAACTCCGAGCAGGACGTTACTGGTGCCGCCACTACCGCCGCCGCTCCCACCGAACCCAGTGGGGGACGGCATAGAGACCGACACCTGCGAATTTAATATATTTTGTAGTTTGTTTGTTATTTTGTACTACATAAAAGGCTTCCTCATTGATAAGTAGGTAGTGATGCAATAACTGAAGTATTTGTATTTATGAACACTGGACTAATATTGTTGTTATTTACTTAAGAATGTACAGATAATGACATTCTAATGGTAATTTCAATCAGAAATAATTGAATTTCTCTCTTGGTACTTTTTTCACAGTATCTGTACTATTAACGTATCAATAAACATGACTTCTTTAAAAAAAAAATACAATTATTCTCAATTATTTTTTTGGGACAAAATCAGCACAACCTCCCTAAACTGTGCATCTCCTGTGCACCAGGATCTACTGTAGATACAACCATGATAACACCGGAACATTGAAGTCCGGCACGTCCCAGGGACATGAACAAATGTCTTGGATCCCGAAACGAAATAAATCACAAGATAGGAGAAAAATACTTAACAGTTACTTCATCTTTCCTAATAAAAACCAAATAATGTTTATCCCAACCAATAATTCAACTACCCAGCGCCAAATAATAAACTGTAGAAAAAAGTTCTTACCTGTCCATTGCTCTGGACTTCAATTTTATATCCGGGCGGCAAAAAAGTGTTGAATCCGACAATCAACTCCGGGTGCCCTTTAAACAGGTTTGATACTCGGGTGATGACGCCCGGGGTGTCGATACTGCAATACAGACTAAAATTAAGATGGTGGGTAAAGTTTGGGATTCGAGTTCTTGGCTAAACAAAATCATATCAGTACAATAAAAATTGCAGCCATTAATTTTTTCATTGAAAATCAAACGGTAATTGTTTTCATCATTTCAAAGGTACCTATTAAAAATATGTATTGTTTTTTTTAGTTTTGAAACTCTTGAATGTTGTTAATGAATAATATACTATATAGATATATACAGTTAATTTCATTGTTCTAACTACTAATACCTAAATCAAAATAATTCACTTCCTTGATATATACATAAGTAACTAATTTTCGTAAATAAATAGGTAAATAATAATAAAAAACCTTAATGCTACCAAAGGTAGTCAAAAGTTGACGTCTGAAAAACGTTAGTCAAAAGTTCAAGAAGTTCTGAACTCCCTCCACTTCTTCATTCAGTAGTAGTCAATTGAAATAATTTATCTGTCTTGTAAAATGTTTTATTTCATCACAAACTATTTGCTCGACTAATCATCAATATAAACAAGAAAAACCTACAAAAGCAAACTTAAAATAACCAAAGACAAAAATTAACACACACAAACTATTTAAAAAACTTACGTCTGACTTTTAAACTCCTTCATGATGTCCAGAAAGTCGTTATACACTTGTGGCTGGGTGTTGAACTTGTATTTCACTTGGTCGAGGTATGACAGAGCATCTTCCACCTTCAGACGTTGGAACTGGCCAGCAGCTTGTTGTTGTTGGGCGCCCGGTCCCACGGCCACGCCTGGCGGGGTCGCCAGGGGCGCTGGGGCGGGCGACTGGCGTCCTAAAGCTGCTGGCAATGCTCCCAAACTCGGTTGCTGAGGTGGTAATGTCTGTTGAAAGAAAAGGACATGTTACATTGGAATTTGCAAGACACTTCCTATATTCCAATAACTAATGTTGTTAATATTGGATCTATGCCTAACTTTAATGTCTTTTTTTATTGAAAGTAATAACTTACAAAGTGAATTAACTGAGAAAAGCTCTACTAGTTTCTACTCACAAAGAGACTCTTATTCAAGAGCAGTCACGGTACAGCTTTTCTCAGAAAAATTACGCAAGTTATTATTTTCAATCAGTCTCACAATAGTTACTATTCAAATAACTTTGAGGCGTTTTTTGTAAGTTACTTAAAGCTAAGCCAACTTACTGATTCCTTATACAATTATTGCATGTTCAATTGATTTTATTGCATTTATAATATCTGCACATTTCTTTGGATATAAAATGTATGATGTGATTGTTAATGAGGTGTCTTTCTATATATAGCCTTGAGGTAGAACATGGTTCATAAACACCATTGTTTATCATTTGTACTTTATGTTGAAGCTAGCTAACTACTGGGTCAACTTACGAGCAATCGGCTCCAACTATGGAGCAGAACTACATAATGTGTTACAGATCTTTCTCGAATAGGTAGGGGATGAAAGGGAGGAAAAAATCTAGTGGGACAGTTGTTCATAGGTAGCGACGAACGCTTATATGTGTTGTGTTTGGACGTCTACTACCCTAATTCATAAATAAATCAAACTTTTAAAGTAATTGATAAACAACAAGTATAACCTTTTCACGTACTTATTACATAACACTATTGAATGAATATAAACAAATACTTACTGTCAATAGTTATTATATAGGTTGCATAACTGATAGGGCAGGTCATGGATAGGCTATCAATATGATGAAGAACCTAAGACTTAACTAAATAAACCTTGGTTTGATGAGATCTAGAATAAGTTTCCCTATAACTTGAAACTTATAACTGGCCATTGTTTCATTGTATGAGCTTCGAGAATAGAATAGCGTTTTTTTTGTGAGTGGAAAATCATCAAGTGGCTTCTCCCGCCCAGGGCCGGGCGGGAGGGAGTGTCAGACTCTTACTGACTAAAAACCCCCCCGTTCCTTCTCCTGCTCTGTGCCGAGGTCGCGGTGCCTCATTGCGCTTACCCCGCAACCCGGAAGGTTTACATGTATTATAGCATCCATTAAATAGTGGAGATATTTAGTATCAGCAATGCATCCGTGCGAAGCCAGGCTAGCCGTTAGTAAAACAGTAAAAGACACCTTTAAAACAAAACAACAACACCATTTATATAAATAAAATGTTACCAAAAACAAATATTATTCGCGCACAACAAAACAATCTATTATTAGAACATCGTTTATGTAACTTTTGACAGCTACGTAAAGTGGGGTTGTGTTGCCTGCCGTAATAATTTGTATGCAGGATCCGTGACGTTTATGTGGCGTGTGATCGATATGGCGGGGATTTGGGATAAAATAATTTATTATATCATGCCTTCTATTCATTTTAGTTTGTGTTTATTATAATTAAAATGCGACACCTACTATTCAACAATATTTAGTAGGAAAGATGTTTGCCATATCACTATATGTATAGTACAAAACTAAGTCGCTTTCTGTCCCTATATTCCTATGTGTATGCTTAAAACTTTAAAATTGCGCAACGGATTTAGATGATGTCTTATTTTAATGATAGAGTGATAAAGTAGGGAAACATCCATCAAATAGTGGGGAAATTTAGTTTTAGCATTGAACCCGTGCGAAGCCGAATCCGAATGCTTTACTTGAGCTAACAAACCAACCACGTTTTCAACTATCTTATGAAAATGTTGATTGACGACTTCAAAAAGCTGTCTTGCTATCATAGATGATATTCAGCCTACTGACAGCTAACTAACTCTGCAGCAGTGTAGGTTTTACCCTTCATAATGATTGTTTCTATCGCCCAGACCACGTTTAACTTACTACTTAAACAAATTGTTTCATATTACTAGATTTTTCTGGCATTTTTAAGTTCTAATGACAATAATTAGCGCAGTAAGAAGACTGACCTTAAGCCTCTGAGGGACTTGAGGGGGCGGCGGAGGCTGCTTCGCTGCATACTGCACGGCGCTGGTCTTCAGGTAGTTGATGACGGGGCCGCCACCTGAGGGCCGAGCACCCGTGCGGGCGAAGCTTCCACTGCCGCCGACTGAGAGAAGAGTGGCTGGGCCCGCTGGGGAGCGGATGTCTGTTGGGGAAATTTGAGATTAGATTTTTGCATTCTTGTCTTAATTAATGGTTCATTGTGGTGAGAAAGAGAACTATTTCCTTCTCTCTTCCTTATTGAAGAAAATCTAAATACAATTAATTATCAATTCTGTTTCATTTTACAATATATTTTACTGTAATTTTTAAGATAGAACCAAATTGTAAATAAGTATCGTAATAATATAGCATAAAGTACGAGAACTTACCCAAAATTTGGGGTTGGGCCGACTGGGCCAAAGTGTGCATATTGCTTGCACCTGCTTGTTGAATCTGTAACAAGGAAATTTTATAGGTTAGAACAATTTTATTTCAACTTTTTCGCCTGCTTGGCAAATGAGGTGTGTGCCTAAGCAAACCTATTGGAAAATGGTAGGATAATCTAGTTCGGATCTATGTAATACATTTAGTTTTATGTTTCATACAGGTTTATTGGCTGATAATATAATTCGAGACACATGCGCGATCGCCGATGTTAGCTTGGGGTTTAATGAACTAAAGTTTTTTGTAAAATTTTTGAACTAACTCTTCCTAATATTTGCATGAGAACATGCCTGTCTTTGTGTGAACTATACCTACAAATGCACAAACACATCCATACATAATTTTACACAACAATTTCCCTATTACAATTAAGTCCGTATTGCACAAAAAACAGTGCATTTTAAAACAAGACAATATAGCAATATCGCGTTACTTCTCCTATCAGAATAAACAAACTTGTACAAAATATCTGTGTTTACACTCCGCAGGTAGAATCGAGCAAGGCCGGCTCTGAATAACAAGTATTTTCAAGTGAACGTTGGCGTTAACGTTATAAATAAACTGACTGACTCATTTCTCATGTCGTATTGGCACATACAACCGTGTTTTCACGCAAATAATTTGTTTATAATTTCGCGCGTTTTTGCAGCCATTTTGGACAGATAATGTTAAAAACAATATCATGATTGTTATTCCTAGAAGATGCTATTAGTTTCTTTAATACCGTATTCGGACACAAGCTGTTCACTGTTTCATATAGATCTAGAAACGACCTGCATTCAGAGGCACCCTGTGATCTTTAGCTGGTCCCTTATCCATCTCATGAGACTTAGTGGACAGAGCGAGTGCGTAAGGCCCAGTACAAATAAAAGCGAAGGTAAAAACTTGGAAATAAATATAACATTCATTGTTAATAGTATTTGACCCAAATATTTTAAGTAAATTGGCACTAACACGTTGAAAAAGAATGTCATTGCCAACATTTTTATAACTATCCTCCTTTTTGTTTTCATTAACTTGAACCTTTATATAGAAGTTTAAAATGGTCGCGATCTCTCGTTGGGTTGGCACCTGCATATTTGAGTAGGACGATATTATGAAATATGGGCATTTTATGATGGCGGACGGCAGACAAGCAGAATACTGATACCCCAGCGTTAAGCAATCGGTGCCACCCATGGACGCCCACAAGATTGGGGTACAATGGATTAGAGAATTGCAATTTCTAAGACATTTTCATCACTATATGGTATACATAAGAAAATATAAAAGCTATACCGAAAGTTAAGTAACAATCTGCATTATAGTGTTCGAGAAACACTCAAAGACTACTAAAAGGATTGTTAGGCAATTTTCATCATAGGCTAGATTGATTTTTAGGGAACATTTTTACCCGTAAGCTTGTTTAACTGTAGGAGTTTATGTAAAGATCATAATTCCTTCATTAGACGAAGGCCTAGATTTATATATTATGTCATATAAAAATAGTGATGTGCATAATTGTAAACAAGTAGAGGTTATCGACACGCTATCGATGTATCGACCTCGAGGTGCAAACAGCTTGTTTGTTTTGATACACTTATCATATTATTTATACAGTCTAATTGGACAAGGAATTGTGTTTTATAATATTGTAATTTGTACTGTATTATGTTGCTATGGTTTCTTTGTGATTATAGTTTCGTCTATTTTAATATCATTCTCATTTAGTTCTGTACAATACCGCCAACGTATATTGGCGAGTCTGAAGTGAGCCGATTAGCTGCGCAGTACACAATTTTGTTCCTAAAAGATCCATTGGGCAGACAAACGGCTAACTTCAGACTCGCCAAGATACGTCGGCCGTACTGTAGTATAACGTGATCTTTCAAGTCTATATACTACAAAGTTCTATATTACAAAGAACTAATTGTAAGTTTGTATGTAGAGGGTAATCTTTGAAACAGCTGGTCGGATTTCCAAAATTATTTCACTGAGATATAGCAATAATCCTGAATGCTATATATTTTATTCGTGTATAGAAGTAGTTCCTTCGGGATGAGGGCAAAGCTCCCGATACAACCAGTAATCTGCAATATTGAAACTTTGTGTTGTTATTTACACTGTGACCCCTAAGCTAAGCATGGCTTAATTCAGATGGTTCGATTACAGAAGTATTTCTAAATAAGTCAGGAATATTTGCCCTTCGCAATATTCTATAGGAAATTATACTAGCAAACTATCTTTTGAATCACACTGAGATATTACGTTATGAAGACAAACCTACAACCTTTTGAACAACATTTTATTCTTCCAGCTACTGGGTAAGCTGTGAAAACTGTATGCCTACTTATAATAGGCTAGACTACTCCATAAGACATCTATGTCAAGCAGTAAACAGGACAATGCTGATAATGATAAAAGCTACCTTTATAATACAATTGTTTTAACATTTTCGGCACACCGCAAGTAACGTAGTACTTTGCGATGCTTCCAATGCTCAAGTTAATATACCCCCTTGTACGCAGTTGTCAGTCCTATTGGCTAGGTCAGCAACGGGATGGGGGGGATAATTACAAGAAACTACATCATCATCGTCATCATCAGCCTATAAGTGCCCACTGCTGAGCAAAGGCCTCTTCTCACACGGAGAAGGTTCACAGCACGCTCACTCAATGCGTATTGGCGATTTCAAACGGATGATCAGAAACTCCAAAAATATAATATCTTAGTGTAACTAGCTACGTTATACTAGCGAATGGTTCCGCCCTGTAAATGAGATAAAAAGTAACCTGTGATATTCCAGAAAATAATCTATATCTATGCCAAATTCCATCTAAATCCGTTCAGAAGTTTCGGTGTAAACGCGTTACTAACGTACATACACGTCAAACTATGTATGCATTTGTAACACATATAAGAATTAAAAGTTTTCGCCCCTGAATGCTTGATATGACTTATAAAGGGTAAAGTAACATTAAAATCGTTAAAACACCCATTATTTTCTTTTAATAAAACTTCTACACTATTGGCACGGTAACTTGAACTAAATTATACCGAGAAAGTGTTTAATTTCGATTACTTTATAGAAAATGACGTTGATATCGAATTAATTCGTCATAGTCACCATGTTTAACTTGAAACTTAGTGGAAATATCAAATTATTGTTTATTTGTAAGGAATTTGGTATCACTACATAGTATAAAAAATAAAGTCACTTTTTCTGTCCTTATATCCCTCCCTATGTGTGTTCAAATATTTAAAACTACGCAAAGGATTTTGATGCTGATTAGTGATTGAAGGGGAAATCTTAATACATACATCCATTTAATAGTGGAGAAATACGTAACTGTTCGAGGTAACTCGACTAATTTCAAGCTATACCAGGGGCCCATAATCCTAACCTATTCGAGCTGCAGTTCAACATAGTTAATATAAATCATATTGAATAATGAAGAACGTGCAAGAAACTCCACACTACTTTTACATATCCTTGTTTCAAAATTCCTAATTAGATAATATTAATGCCTTTGTAATACCTATCATAACATCACTATTAAACACACCGTGAAACAGCAAACTTACTAGGCGTCGTTTCCAGTGTCATTGCACCCAAGTAATTTGTCGCCAAGGATAGCAAGGCAACGTGGTTGGAATAGACGTATTTTTGGTACATTTCCAATTTATTTATTATACCAGGTAATGTATGGAAACTGCTTCTACTGACGTAGTTCTCAGTCAATGAGCTAATTAGTTCTATTATATGTATTCATAATTCATAGTCGTACGGTGACGGTGTGGAATACATTTTTCAGGGAGTACACGTTTATCAGCGCTCTCTAACAACCGTTTTTTTGAAGGGAAAAAATCTTGAATGACTTCTCTCGCTGTGGGGGAGACGACAGGACTCTTATTGAGTTAAAACCGTCCCGTTCCTAATCTTCTCCAGGCAGGGGCTGCAGTACATTATCGAACTGGCAAGATGTTCCTATATCGCCTGGGCAGTCTACGCTACATCCTTGTTGACTGGACAATCTCTGCACTACATGAGCTGCTGTTTACATGTGAACATTAGCTCATGACGATACCTAAGTACGTGTGTCGCCTGGACAGTCTACGCTACATCCTTGTTGACTGGACAATCTCTGCACTACATGAGCTGCTGTTTACATGTGAACATTAGCTCATGACGATACCTAAGTACGTGTGTCGCCTGGACAGTCTACGCTACATCCTTGTTGACTGGACAATCTCTGCACTACATGAGCTGCTGTTTACATGTGAACATTAGCTCATGACGATACCTAAGTACGTGTGTCGCCTGGACAGTCTACGCTACATCCTTGTTGACTGGACAATCTCTGCACTACATGAGCTGCTGTTTACATGTAAACATTAGCTCATGACGATATCTAAGTACTTGTGTCGCCTGGACAGTTTACGCTATCCTTATTGGCTGGACAGTTTCTTCCACACGAGGTGTTTTTATTATAATTAACAATATTGATACTTTTAATCTATTATTGTTGTGTGTATTATCTTTTATCAGTATTACAATAACCCACACAAACTGACGACTGGCTATCTAAAATATATGAAGAAATGCATCGTTTTAATCTTTTTTATTTATCTCTGACGTGTATTTTCATATTAACCTATTCAGCCAATGATTAATGTCCTTTGATTACTGAACATGTTTTTATAAGTATAACAAAGGTCTGTTATTCTAGGAAACATATTTTTACTAGAAACCTAAGTTTGTAAGTATAGAACATTGGAACATCGAAAGTCAGAGCGTTATATACATCATGGAAAGCATGGAAAAAAAATCACAAAGAAAGCGATGATTGATGGAAATATCTATATCAATATTATAAAGAAGTAAAATTTGTAAGTTTGTATTAGGGGGTAATCTTTGGAACCGATGGCCGGATTGCCAAACACTGATAGATAACTACAATGTTCCTGAGTGCTATAGGCTTTAAAACATCACGCTACGATCAAACGGAGCTGAGCAGCGGGTGAAACCGCGCGAGAGTAGCTAGTAGTTTATAAAAAAAACTGAAGGTCCAGATCAATGGCATGCCTATAACTAGCAGCGGACAGAAGTGAGCTCTACATTCTACTTCATAACCTAAAGTAAAATCGTCCAAACATACCGATGAAACTTTTTTACTCCTAGAATTTATAGACCGCGTTGTATGTTGATAAAAACAGCCTATGAGTTAATTCGAGGTATCATTATCTGAGCACCTAAGATTCACTGACGAACCGACTGACAGACTACATACTATTTAGACGTTTCCAAAGTGCCAAATTGCAACCAAATCGGTCCAGCAGTTTTTGCGTTAAAGAATAACAAACATACATACATACAAACATTCAAAGCTTTCACGTTTATAATAGTATAGTAGGATAGAATCTAGTTCCTTGCCGATGGGGCAATAAATGAATTTTCAAAAGGCCTACATAGAGAAAATCTATTTTCCTCTTTAATAAATTACTCGGCTTGCAGTGACCTAGTTGCGAGGCGCCGGCACCGTTACAACTGTAAAATATGTATAAATACAAGTATTGATCGGCTAATGATAATAACCAATATTAAATTTACTATTCAACAAGCAATACGTGTAATTACATATACGAATATATACATTGTTGTAGAAAATTTGGTAAAAAGTATTAATAATATCGTACAAGCCCGTATATTATGGCCAGTCTATTTAGAATTTAAAAATGAAAACAGACAATTATATTTTGGCTATAATTACTAGCATACAACCTTAACTCAGATTCTGCGGCTTATACAAATATTACATCTTTTACTTTGGAAAAAATTAGTAATTTTTTTTTCTGCTATCAGACATTAGACTTAACTCTCTTTTGAACTTTATAGTCTATAATCCACTTTACTTTTCAAAATAATCCAAGAGGCAACCAAGAAAAAAAAAACAGTCAATACTCGATAAAACCTTACAGTTTTTATGAACATTATAACAAAAAAAACTTCTCTGAATCCAAAGCAAAGGAAACTATTCATTACATAATATTACGGCGCAAAAGAACGTAAAAAAATGGTACCTACTCCAACATCCGCCATTTTGCTATTCCTTTGTACATACAATGTTGAAAAAGTTTAGTTGGAGTGTTTATGGCTTAGTGTTTTTTGTTACAATATTATGTACTTACACACATTTTGTATTGAAATTTTTATATTAAGAAAATACATGAGCTGTGTTTTCTTTGAAATGGTATGGGTATATTATTTTACATAATATTACAGAGCCATTACAGACTAGGTATGTATTGAGAAAATAACTTAACAGTGTGGATAATATTAAATAAATCATCTTGTCTTTAATATTAGTTATGTGTAACTAAATAAAAGTATTTACTTCCTGTATCTCTATATCTTTCGTTATGATGCATTTGGTTATTATTACAATGAAATTCTGGATTTTTATAATATTTTGAACTTTAGAATGTTGTTGAATAAGGTATACAATAGTCTTTCAGTCTGTTTGTCCATAAAGTTAGCGGCTCCTTCAAGTAAAGATCCAATTGAAATACCATACTTTTTAAAAGCTAATCTGCTAATCATTGGCCAAGTGCCAGTGTTCTGCGATGGCCTTATAGACTTTACAGGCTAACAATAATATCAAAAGTACTCTTACCTGAGCTTGATTCTGGGGAGGCAGGGGCGCGGGCTCATCAGGCCCGAGCCGCGGGACTCCTGTCCGTTTCATCATTGTTGATGATCAGTGATTTTCCATCACACGATCACCTGGAATTTCAGAGGTGTAACATTAATTATAGGTTCAGGAGACTGACTGTAATTTACAATAAGACTGAAATAGGTTTTACTTAGTTAACTTTAAGTAGGATAAAGGTGCAGAAAAAGTAATTACAAATTGACACTGCCTATTTTTGATTAAATCTAAATAATAACTCTTCTCTGAATACTAGCTGACTGCACAACCTAGCTACACTACATAAGAACATATTCAAACATATATGAACAGCTCAGCTTCAGCTCACAACAATACCTAACTACTTCAATCACATCCTAGGACACTCAACCCCCACTACATCCTACTCAAAACAGAAAAAATCTAGTATCAGAATGTCTCAAATCAACATATTTCTGCTCCGCTGAATTAAATAAGTAAGAAATGTGGAACTGACATATAAAGAGAACAGCGACCTATTCAAAATGTATCTTGGAGCTATTTTATTACATTTAGGACCAATGTTGCTAGTCTAAAGATAGATTTTGAAGTCCTGATTTTTTATGTTTTGGCAACCAGATGATTTAGTTTTTAATTAAATATAATTTAACAGTTAACAAACAGTGTTGGTTATTTTATTAAGTAAAAAAGACATTTCAAAAAAGAGGTTTATATACATTTTTGTGGTACAATATGATAGATCAAAGTGCTTGAAACTGGAAAGATCTGAATATCTAGAACAGTAGTGTTCTACCAGAGAGGTTTATGCCCAGTGATGAACTAAAATGATTACACCTAGTGGTGATTAGGTATTATTTTGGCTTGAAATTTCATAGTTAACTTATCTAGTTTACTTCTATGACTAATTCGTCCATAAAGGTTTTATTTTACTATTTCATGGCTGGCTTTTCACAGCAAACATGATATATACTATAAAATTGTTTCATTGAAATTTAGAACCATTAATATGTATTCAATAGTCATCCTGGCGTGATAGTCGTTAGTGTAATTTAATTAAATATTCATTTGTTTTAACATTTTCGGCACACCGCAAGTAACGTTGTACTTTGCGATGCTTCCAATGCTAAGTTAATATACCCCCTTGTACGCAGTTGTCAGTCCTATAGGCTAGGTCAGCAACGGGATGGGGGGGATTCAAGCACAAAAATAATAAAAATATTAAGTTATAAAACTATTTTTTCAGATTTCTTACTTGGTATCTCAAACATCATTCAAAAAGCTAAGACTTTTCTACTTCTAGAGTTCTACGTCATGGGCGTGCCCCATTTCATTATGTAAAAATTCAAACCATTTTTCACAACAAAAACCACCATAGAAATCAAAGTTTGGTCAATTCTAAGCGCGTGACAAGACATTGCGTCAATGAGATAAATCTTTGACGGAAACCAATATTTATGTATATCGTACAAAAACTGAGATAAACTAATGACACTTGATAACTTCCGTAACTACTCCATTTTTCGAAGACACAATGCGTACCTATTAAAACACACTGAAATAATAACCCTTAGTATGACTGAACACGTGGTTATTAAAGGATAATTTGCTGTTTTACATACAGGAAGAGAACACACATTGTATAAAACCGATAAAATCAACGATAAAAAGCGTCCGTGTAGGTTATGCGCGGTAATAGATAGTAGATTTTATTATCTCAAACTACATGTGACTCGACTACGAAAACTTAAATTCCTTACCCTTTCAAAATAAAAAGTGATTTACAATCTTCTTTTAACACAACACTCACGAGTACTTTGTAATCGACATTTACAGCTCACTTTGACGAATCTAGTTCATCGATCCGTTAGTAGCTGAATAAAATAACAAGTGATGGTAATCACCGCGCGCCCGCCATTTTCATAAACGGAAACGAACTCACCACGGTTGTTTTGTTTTAATATTTTTCGATTATTTACGTGCGTTACGTTTATTTAGCAATGTTATAAATATAGTTAACAATTTTAATTACTACCTACATTTAGAATTTTAATTAAAGTTGATGTTATGTAACATCTGTGTAACTAATTCAAAATTTGTGAATGGGCAACTTAATAGACACAATTTTCTTGATTTCTGGATTACTAAAAAATCATTTATTATCGCACATTTCATCTCCATTTAAGAATCGATTCAGTTTGTAGAAAACAGATGATACGCGTGATACGCACTAAACGCATTAGGTACGTTCAAAAGGTTTGTAAAATGAGATGACGTCACATCCTGAATTTAAATCATCTGTATCGTTCCACTTTCTTGAAACCAAAATTTTTAGCATTCCGTCCAGGGTCAATTTCAAATCGACATTAAATATTTCGCAAGTATCAAGAAATAATCGAATTGTATTGGCCTACGCCAATGCCCGAAAAATGCAACGTGACTAATATAACGTATTACGGTGAATGTAAGAGTATAGCTTTTATAAACATATTACGCAACTAAAACACGAACATAAAGGTACTCGAAAGCTAGAGGCGAGGTATGTACATTCGAATTTGGAATTTCGAATCTCCGGTCACAGCACCCACACAGGTTTCGTTCACAAACCGGTCCGGCAGCACTGACGATGACACAAACTCGTACTTATTTATAGCGGAAAACGTACACAAATCGATAACACCCTAGCTAGCTGCACAACAGCGACTGGGCGCTGCAAAATGCCTAGTCGGACAGACTTTCGAGTTTGCCGTGAACCGCGTACGGTGCAGGCAACTAAACACTGTCGATACGATACCTACCTATCGAGTGTTATTACAAGTCCCGCCTTTTTACATGGCCACGTTTTGAAACCATCTATTTAGATATTGGACTTGCCTCTTTTCATGGTACAGTCACTCACGAAAATCGTTAGGTATTATTATTTTTACAATGAATCATAGCGAGCGGATCTCGCTTGAAGAAAAAGTATAGTGGCTAAGGATAATCATCTTTCGGAATAGAGCGGTAAAGTCCGGTTTGCATCGGGCCGGGGGAAACGAGGACGGCGCGGCGGTATTCGTCACCGACGTAGAAAATGGCGACTAAATACCAACAATTACACAGCGCGACTCACTGAACGTCAATGCGAATCAATGTTACACGAAGGAGATCAGAAGTCAACCCAGTTAACTGAACTAGAAGATTTCAGCTCCTATCTGTTGCAATTTTATTCAGATAACGATTGGCCTCGGACACATCAAATAAAAAAGTGTCAAAACTACTACATACCGTTGAATGTTAAATGCAGACACGTCGATATCTTCAATTACATGTAGAAAACGCCTTTTATAACTCAAAAAACAGTTTCGAGACAATGAATAAAGATAATAGCGCGTCACGGCTTGCTCCAAGCGAGCACATTCGTGCGCCTCCAAATAGCGCAACGGCGCAACTTTTTCGAGCGCGGCGTCAACACGGTCAGGTGGGCGAGGTTGCGACACTGCCATAGTGCTATCTCGCTCGCACTCAACGCTATCTCTTTCGCACCCACGACACTGTCGGGCCGGGACTGGAGGGACGCAAGCGGAGCCCTTCCTCGGACAAACGTCGCGCACCGAGCTGCGCGGCCGACTGACTGCTCACAGCGCCTCCAACCGCGGCGGTCCGACCGAGAATCGAGCCCGATCCACTAGACGGAACGGCAACGTCGCCGTAGAAATAATAGCGAGCGAAACCGACTTGCAACGATATGAAATGCCACGAACCACCGCCGCGGCACTGGTGGACCAAAACAAAATCTCCTTTCTCTAAAATTATACAACAGTCGCTATTGAGAGCACACCCGGGCCACTCCGCGGCTATTTCCCGCCAAAAACAATGCAGAGATTTCATCAAAATAGTGGCAAGGAAATGCTGAACATGTTTGATGTATTGGAGGGGCATAGTTTCCGATCATTAAACCTATGCGAGTATGGATTTTTGTGATCTTACGAACGTACATAGTTACATATATCTTCAATCCACATGAAGCGGCTTGACAACAGCCAGTATCGACGAGGGGAATACTAAATTCATTGCAGTGAATCAGATACATGGTAGCTAACGAAGTAGCGAATTCGATACATATAATGATGTAAGGACATCCATGCTTATGCTAAAAATGGTAATATTACAAGACAAGGTTGATGAAACGTTTTTAGTGTGAATTTCTAGCTTAAGTCCTCTTAAATCAGCCGTGAACTGAATACGGTTTTGATTAATTCCTTTACAAATAAATACCTAACTTATTATTCTTATAGCATATACTTTAGGGGGTATAAATAGGTCAATACACAAAAGAAACAAATTACAAATGTATGATTTTCTTTTATTGAAACCATGTTTTCTAATCTTCCTGCTCTATGGATCGGCAAACCTAAAATATAACTCGTTTTTATAAAAAAAGAATATAAAAAAAAACTAACTACTGACTAAAAACAAAAATACTAAAAATCTACGTCTAAAAAATGTAGCAAATTTGGAAATATATTTGATTTGAAAAGCGTAATTCAGAACTAATCTAAAAAGTATAATTTTATGACGATACCCATTGACATATTTTATAAAAATACTATCCAAGCCTTTACTAAAATACGACTACACACTTGGATTTACATGAATCATAATTATTTGAATGCATTTTATAGACAGAATTCATTTACACCTCAACTTCCCATAACTTCCTAAATTGGGTAGTTTCCTAGGTCATAAATAAATTAATTCGACGTATACTGTTATTCATCGATCGGTCGATACATTAAATTTTAGATATTTTGTAGCGCAAAAATACTATGATGTCATAACTCGATGTTTCATACTTTCATAGAAAAAGTATTGTTTTTGACATTTGGATAAAAGTATTGAATTTGACTGGGTGGAAACAAACATATTGCTGCATACATCTCAGCACAACCAAAAGGATGACTACTTTAAAATGGTTTTAGCATTATGTCTTCCGTTATGCAATTGTACATAATTATAGAGTTAATAAATAAATATCTTATAATGGGACAAATTGACAGTATTAGCTTCCCTCCTGACTAATAAATTACAACAGCTTTTTTAAATTTTTAATCTATTCCACACGTTACGTTTACAAATACGAAATATTTTTTATAATATGTATTTTGAAATGACTGTCCATATGAACACGTGCCTCTTTTATAATTACCATGACTGTTAAAATTTTGTTTTGCACACTCATTCAGGTGGGTGTGATGATAAAATGACAAATTGTTCAAAAAGATTATAAAGGTTTAATGGTGCCAAGAAAACACCTGTGGTTTTAAGAATTGTCAAAGAAAAGGTCGTGGGATTATCTCAAGTCCTACGAAAATGGATCTCGTTTATTTTGGAAATCGTTAAACATCGATTTAAACTAATATTTTAGAGAGACAAACTTTGTAATTTGCAAGTCGAATTGTCAAAATTCTTTAACTGGTATATGGAAGTTACAATGTTCCTGAGTACTATAAGCTATAAAAGTACACTATTGTCAAAGGGAGCCAAGCAGCAAGTGAAAGCGAGCGAGAGTGGCTATTAAAAAATATAGAACTGAGCTACAAAATGCTGGCAAAAAAGCATAATTTTATAAATTATACCATTTTGCCATACTATGAAGTTTCTTGCTTGCTTCTAAATATGTATCTACATTTTAGAAAGAAGAAAAAGCTTCTCAAATGTTCTGACCGACAGACCAAAACTTTTTTAACGTGATTTTGTTACAGGTCTCAGACTGGTCTTGAAATAAATATTATTTGCTACCAACCTACGTAGAATACATTCACTCAAAACATTATAAGTACCTAACTAAAACTTATTGTTGGGAAAGCCAACATGTAAAACCTTTAATAACTAATTATCCCCCTTTTCCTTATCGATTTACAAGCATAATTATGACTGAATTGTCAATAATAAGTACTTCTTACTTTTGCATTATCGAACTAAACTAAAAGACAACGTACATGCGAAAATGTAACTAGAATTTGGCTAAGATTCCTTAAAAAAAGGCAAGCTCTTAACGATTACGAATTACTAAAATTGTAAAGGCAAAAAATTGCACGTTATCATGTGTACATATTATTATAAAGTCCCAAGTAAACGGTAGTAAGCTTTTATAGCTTAAACATAAACTAGAACAGAGAAATACACCGTTTCAATTATGAGTACAGGTTCTTAAACTGAAAGAGCTATATAGCAACAGGTTCTACTTACAAGTTTCCACTAACGATGCCTTTCTATCAAACAAATAATTAAGAAATGGCTAGTTAAATTGGACATTTTTATGGCATTACTTCTATTTGCAATTAATTGACCTTTATTTACAAACACCTGTTTGTTTGTTAATAACCCTTTAATTAGTTGAATTCCTACAATATGTTTTTGATTCAATAATATGAAGAAACAATCATCAACGTCCATGTTTCATCAAAAACTCTTACACGTTTATAAAAAAAGGGGAATGCCGTTTCTACCTGTTTATACCAGATAGAGAAATGGCGAAAAAAAACCCTTGGTCAGGTACCTTTACTTTTTTTGGTAACAACATCTGTCATCTGGGAAGATTCTTTGAAAAAAATGAAAAACAAATGGGTGTACTCGCTTTTTTTTTCTTGTTTTGTTATGATTTTGGGACCTTCTTTCAATGGTATATGAATAACAACAATACAATCGACATTGCTGAGGACTGCAAAAATAAAAGCTATGTGGATAAAACAACTATTATGAAACAACATTCTTCATCCAAAATTTACACCAATTTTCAAGTATTTTAAGGACACTTTTCCAAAACACCCTGCTATTTTTGTCATTTCAGAAGTTGTATCAAATTCGATTACTTGCCAAGGGCTGCATTAATGGTTTTAGGGTCTTCTACTTTAAATTGAGAACTGGTTTTCTGTCCCCTTATTTGGTATTATTGCTTCACATGCAGCCCGGATACCTTTTATCTTATCTTGATAGAGGGCAAACATATTTTATCTTTTTAACGAGTTTCCCTAGACTCATGTGATCATAATATCAATAAGTTTACTGAACAGATTTTAAGTTAAACCTAAATTTTAATATTTCAGGAAGACGAGTGTCTCCTTACATTGTCTACTTATCTAAAATTATTCAAGAATCCTTATAAATGTGCCTTCTTATAGCACTGCTACTTGCGTAACTGTGAAACCTAGCTATTAATTAGGTAAGTAGGTCTATAATTTTTTTTATAGCACTAACCATACATTCTAAAGTAAAGAGATACTACTTTTAGCAACAGGAAGGTATATATTTCAAAAACCAAATAAGAAAAACAAACAATCCATGTTTGGACCTTAAAACATATTCCAAAGAGTCAAATTGAACCATTTAATAAGACAACTAATAGAAAACCAAATATATTAACACGGTAATGCCATTATCATCTTCAGACACATCAGAGAAGAATGAACTGATGAAAAATGAAATAGTACTGTAACGTCGATAATCCGAAGAAAAATGCAAAACAAAACCCTTCTCTTTGTGTATTTCAAAACAAAGTAAAGATAGTATAAAATTGTAGTCATTTAAAATTCATGAATGAATGTTTTGGCAGGATGAAGGCGTCAGCTGGCCAAAAACAAGACCTTTCCCAAGGCGCTTAGCAACAAAAAGTGACACGGCAACCATAATAACATTTGTTCACAGGTCAAGACTGAATTAAAGGTCTTAAGGCCTATATTTTATCGAAGCGAACACTCGAATTTACGAGAGGACGTAAATATAGGACCGAAATAACCTTTTGTAAAATATAAAGTCATCATAAATATGCAATATTTACAATCAGCCCAAAGCCCGTGTGATGTAAACAACAGATTTAAGCATACACATTATGTGCGCACCATTATTCTATCTAAGGCTCTCGTCCACTCGATAACAACCTAGTTTGTTTATTACTTTACTTGTATGTGTGTGCCCGTAAACAGGTATACAACAAACACGCCAAGTATTAACCTCAATTAGCTCATCTGTGTGTGAGTGACCCACACGAACATAAGATATAACTAAAATTTAATTATAACACCAATACCCTAGAGTTAAGTATTAAACTCGTTTATCGTTTGTATTAAATTTATCCCATTGTTAATCGGAGGATACAAAACGTATAGCCTTGAAAATTCTTATCGAACAAGTGACTTGACTACACACAATTACTGCCCGTGAAGCGCGACGTTGCCAACATTCAGCGCGCTACTGCGTCTTAATTTTACAACAGCGCCGCCATTTTGTTTCCATTTTAACAGATGCAACTTACGAATGATGGGACTCGATTTATTATCTTTCATTATAGCTAACAGATTGATAGATGAACTAGGCACATTTAAAGAAAGTCACATCACATTTTCCTCATCAAAAATACACATGTTACGTAATAGTATAAGATCCCGCTATACAACGACCTTCACCGAGATGTTTATTTGATAAAACATATTTTATATATAATTTTATATGTTAATAAATTTATTGCATATGGGTTGCCTAGCAAATTTCAGTCCAGAGTATGATTAATTAATAATTAAAAAAATATATTTTTTTGAATATTTCACCGGCGTGATTATTGCATAA